CAGATTTGATGGCTCGACTTCCTCGAGTCGAACTTTCACTATACGGTCACATACAAAAAAGGAGCCTCGAATATCGCCGACGCACTGACCCGCCCCACTGCCCAGATCCACGCGATACTACTCGCCCAGACCAGCCCGCTACTTACAGGACTATTTACCCACGGATATCAAACAGACCCATTCTTCACAGGAGGAAACTCACAGCAATTCGCAGCGGCAAAAGGAGTCTATTACGTAAAAGCGGGAACTGGCCGCATCTGGGTACCAGGGTACACATTACTACGAGAAATATTATTACACGAGGCACACGACGGCGTTACCTCAGGATATTTCGGAGTAGAAAAAACACGGCAGCAGCTGCAGCGGTACTACTACTGGCCAGAAATGTTGACCGACGTACAAAGACACGTGGCATCGTGTCCCACTTGCCAGCTCATGAAGTCAAGCAGGAAGCGGCCGGCGGGACAATTACAACCCATCCCGCCTCCAGAGCGTGCTTGGCAGCAGGTGACGATGGACTTCGTCACAGGGTTACCAGCTGGGGCGAGTGGGAATGACGCGATCCTGGTCGTCGTCGATCGACTAACGAAGATGGCACATTTTGCAGCATGCAGGAAATCAATCACAGCCGAAGAAACCGCCCGACTCTTCATCACCACTGTCGTTCGACTGCACGGGATACCCGCATCGATCATCAGCGACAGGGACACGAAGTTTACCAGCAACTTCTGGCGGAACCTGTGGCAGCAGTTCGGCACGCGACTTCAATTCAATTCATCCTATCACCCCGAAACCGACGGACAGACGGAACGGACAAACCAGACCATGGAGCAGCTGATTCTAGCCACGTGCGACGATCCGAACACGTGGGAACAGCAGGTGCCCCTCATCGAGTTTGCATACAATAACGCGCTATCAGCCACGACACAACAGTCACCGTTTTACTTGAATTACGAACAGGACCCAATAGTACCCATGACACCGAATCCCGACAACCCCGTCCCACGAGCACAACAGTTCGCCGAGATTCTGCAAGCAGCACGGACCAGGGCAGCAGAAGCAATCAAGAAATCAAATATCATCGCTAAACGCAACGCCGATCGCCACCGCAGACCCGTCACTTACCAGCCTGACGACCTCGTTTTACTCGACACTCAGAACCTCCGCCTGCCCATCACTCCCAAACTCCGCCCCCGATACTGTGGGCCATTTCGAATCAGTCACATGATCACGCCTGTCACCGCGCACCTCCTCCTTCCTGCTGACTGGTACGTCAGCCCCTCGTTCCACGTCAGCCTGCTTCGCCCTTACGTACCATCCACCAGCCAACTCCCACGACATCGACCCTCCAGCATGACACGACCACCAACCGAGCCAGTCATCACCCCCGATAAAATCCTGAGCCACAGAGTTCGTGACCCTCGAGGAGCTCGAAAAGTGGAGTTTCTGATCCGCTGGAAAGATCGTACCCCCACCGAGGACAACTGGGTTCCCTTGGACAAAGTCGAAAACCACCCTGTCCTCACGGACTATCTGCGCAGCCGAAACTTCAGAGACGTCCACACGCTTTCGTAAGGAGGACCTCCTTAGGAGGGGGGGTAGTGTAAGGAAATTCCCTTTTCCTTACTTCGCGTCCCTGCTCAACGCGTACATCACTGTAGCACCTCACTCAGCACCGTTACCACTCGCGACCATCGCATCATTCATCATCCCGCCATTTTCGCACATCGCATCCCGACCTCACGGCTCGGCTGGTAACCCGCGCTCCGGGCCTATGCTTCGACACTTTCCCAACCTCAGTCCCAGGCTCGTCGCGCGACCATTACCGTTACCACTATAGTTTCGCTATATATTGTTCGCTCATGCCTTGGCTCATTGTACTCTTGCTTCGATAGTGCAATTCTCGTTCGTTCACTCAATTGCACTCGTAACACCATGTTAGGTGTCCTTGTTTGTTTCCATGTTTTGGCATATTGTTGACAAACGTCGCATCCCTTTGTTAGCAACATAGGCGAAGCGGGTAACCAGCTAACGTTAACACTATCTCGAAACTCTGACGATCCAAGTACCCAGCCCTGATTTCATGCCCGTGTCGACCAGCCAACGGGTGTGGGGCTTCTTTGGTGTTCCATTTCGAACGTTGTTGGGACTTGCGCATACACCGGCGGGGGGCAGATTAACAGTGGTTGGGGTTACGTGTGGAGGTTCTCCATCAGTCATTATTTTCCGTCGAGTTGTCGGTATCTCAGGTGTCCTGCTGGTCGTTTTTGAAATTCTCCCTGATGACTGTTCGTCCGGACTTCAATATTTGTGCTTCACGCGGCACTTTTTCGCTACTCACGTCTGCCCCCCTGACGATCAAGCTCGACTGCAATTTCAGTAGTAACCCTGTATATTTGCGAAGACCGCTTTCCACAAGACATTTCCACCTACTTCCAATTCAGCGCAAACGACACTGTCATTGGTAACCCTGTCCTGATGTACGCATGCTCACCTGAGTTTTGTGCTGTCCGCCCCAGTAGTCGCAGCGCAGGTTGTTTTCAGCTGTCGAGACTTGTATACAGTGTTTATAGTGATGAGTGATCGTTCTTTCACCTGCCTCGGGGCACCTGCTCCCGTCACGGAATGCGTGTGAAGCAAAACAACAAAGTCCATTGCACCGATCCTTGCTCTCAGATCAAACACCCCTGCACTCCCCCCTTCTCATTGTCCTGCTTTGTTCTCTGTAGATCAGGAAACGTAGGTCGTTGTCTGATTTCAGTTCCTCTCTTCTAGTGTTGTAGTTAATTCCGCCATTGCCCCTGCTGAGCTCGATAAACGAAAATGGGTCGCCTCGCCGTTGCGCTAGTGTTAGTTCTTGCTTGCGCTGCTACGGCGCGTGCTATTACATGGAACGACAACAGGCACCAGGCCGACTTCGACAGTGGTCGAGTTACTTACACGTCGTGCGAGGAGAACCAGCTGTGCATTAAGGACTGCGCCGAGCAATACCCCACCCGCTATTACATGGGCCAGTACTCGCTCCCCTTCTACCGCTGCACGGGTACCACAGCTACCACCAACAAGAACTTGGGGCTTCCTTTCTGCACCGGCAATGCTATTACGGAGCAACAGTGTTGCAGCTCGTGTATCAATAGCACCACGTGCTCGTACTGGCAGATGTTCAAGCCTGGCGGCGCCACGTGCAACGGATGCGGCATATGCATTTTGTACCCGCCGGGCTTCTCGCCCACGTGCGTGACGTCCCAGTATGAGATGGAGCTGCCCGACGGCACCACCTTCCCACGCAACAACGCCAACATCAGCGTCGTCGGCCACCCGTGCGGCGAGGGCGAGAACGATCCCCACTTCCGCGGCGCGCACGGAACGCGCTTCGAGTTCAACGGTCTGCCGGAGCAGTCGTTCTGCCTGCTGACGGACCGCAACCTGCACGTGAACATGCGCATGCGCGGCTACTATGACACGCGTACCACCGGCGCGTCCATCCTCAAGAACGGCAAGGCGGTTCGCACGTGGATCCGTGAGCTGGGCTTCCTCTGGACCGACGCCGCCGGCAAGAAGCACTCGTTCCGCCTGCTGGCACGCGACGGCAAGAAGACGGCGCGCGGAAAGGGCTTCCTGAAGGAGATCGAGTACGACGGGCACGTGCTGCCGCTGCTGAAGCTCGGCGAGAAGTACTCGCTCAAGGGCGGGCTCACGTTCGCGTTTGAGGCGTACGAGAAGGCCGGTCGCGGCTTCTTCGACGTGGACTCGTATCACTTAGAGATCGAGGGGCTCCTCAAGATGGGCATCAAGCTCCGCGTGGCGCACCCGCTGCTTCAGACCAAGGACGACGCCGAGGCGCATTTGAACGTGCACTTCGAGCACATCTACAGGACCAACGACATTCACGGCATCATGGGGCAGACGTACCGCGACGGCCGCGAGAAGCGCGCGCTCGACTACAACACGCTCTCGCAGGTGATTGGCCGCCCAATTGCTGCTGACGGTCCAAGTGGTGCTGGTTTCCTGGACGGCAACGTGAAGGACTACCGCACGTCGGGGGTGCTGTCGCCTGACTGCCTTTACACGGCGTACGACGGCCACGACCTGCCCACGATTGCGTCGTACAAGGGCATTCAAATGGCTTGAGAAGCCCTGAGAATTAAGATGCTTCAGGGTGTGTATTATGTTGGATTCGACTTCAATACTCTTCCTCGGTGCTTGCTTGTATTCAATAGCTAGTCGTCAAAAGTTGGGCATTGAATATGTTCTTTCATATCGAAATTTATTTTATGCAAATAATGCTGCTGATGATGTTATCGTTATACTTGTATGCGTCTTCCTTCTATTGGTTATTGACTATGTTGGAATGAAAATATTATAGTTTTAAAACAAACGAGTGTTATACAATTGCGTATTGTGTAAGCGAAGCTGCTTGTACCGCACAATTGGCATCGTCGAAGCGCGCTAAACGCCCTTCTCCAACTACAAAAACCGTGGGTTGGAGTTCATTTCCCTCCACCCACGCTTCTCGATTTTCCAACGGCTCACTCAACATTCCCACCACCCACCCCAGAGTAAACCGCCTTGCTAATGCCACTTGGATAGGGTACATCTTAGCTAGTGTTATTCGATTGCACTAGCTTGTGTTCAACGTTGATGCAAATGTTGTAATAAGCCATTTGTAATGAGAACGATGCCAATTGATAAGAATAAGAAAGCAAGCTTTCTCAATTTATAATTTGTTACAAAAATCATACTACACAATTAACCCTACAAACCAGATGCAGATATCAGAGATACCAATAAATTATATGTCTTAAGCTGCATCTGCAATCAGCACCTCTCCCCCCATTGCTGAAGCTTGGGCGTTCTGATGACACTCAGCTTCCGCGCATCCCTCACAAACTCGCTGCAAGCGACACAAGGAAGAACATGAGAAGCAGCAAGGAGGACAATAGTGAGCACGGCTTCATGCCAGTGGCAGTGCAGTAGTCATGGCGTGGAGCTCACGGGGTCTAAAGGAGGCAGGACACGAGCATAAGGCGGAGATGCAGCAAGTAGAGGAGCAGCAGAGGGAAGTGGAAGGAGTGAGAGGAAGAACAAGAGGGAGAAAACGAGAGGTAGAGAGGGAGGAGGGATGAGATGCAGTGAGAGAGTGGGAGGAAGGAGGTGCAGCGAGGGGTTGCTGACCTCCAGGGCCCGTCCCCGACGAGGAGCGTGTCGCCATCGGCGTCGGTGTAGGTGAGCTGCCAGGGACACGTGGCACCCTCTGAGGGCTGCCCCGGCTGCTGCAGAGGCAGCTGCAGCATGGTTGCACACGTGGCGTACAGTGATTGGAAGCTGCCGATGCCACTCAGATCCACCGTGCGCATCACTGGGCTTCCCTCCACCCGCAGCTGAGGGAGGAGAGCACAGGCAAGCAAGAGAAAGAACAACGGGTGGGTGTGAGAGGCTAGCATACGTGCATGCATCCACTCAACCATGCAAGCATGCATGCATGCACCATGCAGTGATGCATGCATGCATCAAGGAATCACTCACTTTGACGCGCCGAGACTGCCCAGCAGCAGTGGAGGCAGCATGGCAGCTTGGCTGCAATGCCTCACACGCCGGACTGGCAGCAGCAGCAGCAGCAGCAGGGGGAAGAGCAGAGGAAGCAGGGCGAGGTGCAAGGCCCTCAGTGCAGCGCTTCGCCAAGTCTTCATCACAGCCGCCCACCGCCATCCCCCTCGTGGCCTCTGCACCCTGCCTTGGCATCGCAGGCACCTCCTCCCGCTCCCGCACTGCGCTCCCTGCTGCTCCCCACTCGCCCGCTCCCCTCCCTGCTCCAGGCTGCTCTGCCACCTGTTGTGCCACGCTATGCCCGTCGTGTGGCCCTGCCGTCCCACCTAACCCCAACTGCGGTCGCTGTGGCGAATGAGATTGACATGGCGAGTGTGGGGCCAGAGGGACAGAGAGAGTGAGGGAGAGGGCGAGGGGGTCGCACCAACCTGAGGCACCTGAGGCAGCTGAAGCGTGGAGTGTTGAGGAATGGGAGATGGAGAGAGGGCGAGCAGGGGGTGACGGGGAGAGCGAGAGGGCGAGAGCCGAAGGCACTGCTGCTGGAGTTGCAGCTGGTGGGGTTGCTGGAGCCATGGCTGCTGCTGCTGCTGCTGCGGCAGGAGCGGAGTGGTGCCCGGCGTGCTTGAGCACGAGCAGGGATGCCGCCGCTACTTCAAACGATGAGTGGCCCTGCCCACCCGCCATGCCCTCCTCTGCTCCTTGCTCTGCCTCCTCTCCCTCCTTTCTCTTCTCCCTTCCCTCCTCGCCCTTACCTCCCTCCTCCCTGTCCCTTCCCTTCTCTTCCTCGCGCACCTCCGCCTCCACCATTTCCTCCTCCTCGCCTCCCTTCCCACACTCCACATCACGCATTTCTTGCTCCTCACACTCCTCCTCGCCCTCCTCCACGCGTCCCTCCACGTCACCACTCTGCCAGCTGGCACAAGGGACGGCACTCCTTGCCTTCTTCCCTGGCCGCTGCTCTGCTGAGTCAGCTGCCACGTGGCAGTCAGTGAGTGGAAGCAGCGTGGCGAGAGACAGCCTGGCAGGCCGAGGGGCGCTGGGAGGAGGCGCCGCATGGGAGAGGACGGTGGGAAGGGGGCGGAGGTGGGGTTGGGAAGGGGTATGGGGCGGCTGCGTGGAGTGGGGAGGAGGGGAGGAGTGGGTGGGAGGGGAGGAGTGGGGGGGTGGGACGGAGTGGGGAGGAGGGGAGGGCGCAGGCGGGTCGAGGTCGCACTGGAAGCGCACTCGCTTGCGCACCGCACTGCCAGGTGGCAGTACGCCATTGGCGGGTGGGAGCACTCCGCACGCCCCACTGCCTGCGACGCCACTTCCGGCCTGTTGTGGTGCGGCGGGCGGCAGGCGTGTGGTGGGGCGAGGGGTTGCTGGCCGTCCACCCTCACTGCGGCTGCTGCTCATGTCCGAGTGCGAGTGGGAGTGGGAGTGCGAGTGCGAGTGTGAGGGTGTGGGTGGGAGTGAGAGGGAGCGAGGGCGGGAGTGGGAGAGGTGCAGCAGAGCAGCCATGTTGGGGGAGATGGACCGGGGGACCGGGCGGGTAACAACCACCCGCTGCTGCTGCTGCTGCTGCTGTTGCTGCTGCTGCTGTTGCTGCTGCTGCCTTTGAGACGGTGGCGGTGGGGTGACAGACGCACATTCCCCTGATGCCGCAGCTGCTGCTGCTGCCAGCTCTGCTGATGTGGCGGCCAGTCCCGGAGCAGGTGCCGACACTGGTTGCTCACCCACATCCCCTCGCGGCCGCCCTCCACATTCCAAATCCTTCGCCTCCCATCCTTCCTCACGCCCCTCCCGCCCGCCCACCCCGCCATCCCCGCCCGTCTCTCTTCTTGCCTCGCGCCCACTCTCCTCGCCCCTGCCCGCCCCCCTGTCAGGAAGGTGCAGGGGGAGGGGGAGAGGGTGGTCGGGGGGGGACTGCCTCACGAGCGCGCGCCACTGCCGCCACTCCGCCAGGCTGATGCGCCGCCCCCCGCCAGGGGACAGGCAGGGGGAGGCGGAGGGGGGCAGGCGCAGAGGTGTTGGGGGGGTGGGCGCGGAGGAGAGGTGTGGGGCAGAGGAGGCGCTTCTGGCCGTGGTGGGGGAGGGAGGCGGGGGCATGAGCGCGGACGGGGACGTGTGGAGCGGGGGAGAGGCGGAGAGAGGGGGGAGCGCGGAATCCCTGAAGCTGGAGCGTGGGGGTCGGGGGTCACGGGGGAATGAGGGCGGGCGGGGGGAGACAAGGGGCCGGGGGGAGGGGAAGGGGGAGGAGGAGGAGGGGAAAGAGGAGGAGGAGGGGAAAGAGGAGGAGGAAGGGAAAGGAGCGGAGGCGGTGAGGGAGGAGGAGGTGGAGAGGGAGAGGGACATGGGCGCGGAGAGCGAGGAGGAGCAGGGGGAGGCGCGGGGGGCGGAGGGGAGCGAGTCATCGAGGTGCCAGGGGGAGACGAGGGGGGGGCGGGGCAGCGAGGAGTCGCAGTCAAACCAGCGCACGCGCACACTGCGCCACTGCGACGTCGGCCACACGCCACTGGCCGCCCGGTGCACGGCTGTGACAGTGCCGCGCAGGCGGTGCGTGGACAGCTCGTCCGTCTCAAACGCCATGCGCACCTCGCTGGCTGCTGTCAGTCGCTGCTTGAGGCGCAGTGCAGCGCAGAAGGCGGCGAGGGGCAGCACAAAGGGCGCTGGCGTTGATGCCACGCTGGGGGATGGGGGGATGGGGGGATGGGGGGACGCGCAGGTGGACGCGCAGAGAAGGGGCGGTGAGAGGCGGTCGTGATGCGTGGAGGAAAGAGGGAGCGGTGGTGCGAGGAGGGAGTGGCATGGGCTGCGTGGTACGAGCGCAATGGGGGCGAGGCGAGGAGGTTGAAGAGTTGGGGGAGACGGGTAGGGAGGGCAGAGGAAAGAAGCAAGAGACTCAGGGCAAGACGAGGAGAGGGAAGGAGGTGAAGGAGCAGAGGAGGGGAGGAGTGGATACCAGGGGTGGTAGACGACGGAGAAGGCCCTCTTGACGCCGTGGCAGTGCGCCGCCCACTCCAACACCTCACTCGCTGTCACCGTCGTCGCCACAGCACCACCACCTCTGCCGCCTCCTCCTGCTGCTGCTGTGGCCTGTGCACCCGAGTTGCTCCTCCCCTCCTTGGCTGCTCCTGCACTGCTTGCAGAGTTGGTTGCCCCGCACCCTCTCTCCCGCTCCCTCTGCCGCCTGTGCTGCGCTGCCAGCACGGCCTCGCTGCGCCGCGCGCCCACCTTGAGCGCCCCGTTGCCCGCCCTGCCAGTACCGGGGGGTGGGGGAGGAGGAAAGGGAGAGCGGGGGAAGAGCGAGCGGAGCAGAGTGAGGCATGGCATGGTGGAAAGAGGCGCGTGGCGGCTAGAGAAAAAGAGGAGGGGAAGAAGGGTGGGCAGGGGACGCACGTGTAGTGAGGCAGCGAGCGGCAAGCACGGCGTCCACCTGGGGAAGACGATGGTGCTCCACCCACCTGAGACAACACCTGAGCTCACCTGAGGAAGACGATGCGGTCGGACGCTGCGAGCCCCCACGACGCGCAGAGGGCGCTCCACCCCGCCGTCAGCAGGTGGCGGCGCGGCGACCCGCGGTACACGTGGCGGAAGTTCCACTCGCGGCCGAACACGTCGGATGCCACCAGCTGCTGACATGGCCCCTCCTCATTGGCGTCCTGCCGTGGCCCATGCCATGCCATGCCATGGTGTTGCATCATGCAGGAAGAAACGCGGATGAGAATACGAAGGTGGAGCAATGTGTAACAAAGTGACATGGCGCGGAGCTAGAGGTGCGCAGCAATGGGTGAGGACGGCGACGAGCAGCACAGTTGCGTGGGGGAGGAGCGTGTGTGGAGGGGGGAGGGGGGGTGTCGGAGGGAAGGTGGGGGGCTTACGAGGGCGGGGAAGAGGGACTCAGCAGCCTTGCGCGGGATGAAGAACCCGCCATGCGGCGCGGCGTCGCTGGTGGAGAGGCGCTTGCAGCACATGTGCAGCCGCGCATGCGCGCCCATGTGCGTGTGCACCCCCTCCTGCACCCCTGCCTGCGCCTGCAGCCCCCCCGGGCGCGCTGCCTGCGTGCGCCCGCCGTCTGTGTCCAGGCTGCCCTCCTCGCTCTGCTCCTCTTGCGCGTCCGCCTTCTCCCCCTCGCGCCCCCGTCTCCTCCCCGCTGCGCCTGCCTTGCGCGCCTCCTGGCTGGCGGCTGCCTGCGCCTTCACTGCTTCCGCCTGCTCATTCACGGGCGGAAGAACGGGGGAGCGGACTCACGGGGGGATTAGACGGCGGGCGGAGGAGGGGGAAGGGCAGCTGTCAGCGCGGAGGAAAGGGATGGCGCAGAGGTGAGCGAGAGGGGGAAGAAGGGAGTGAGGACAGCGTGGGCAATGTACGAACAAATTCAGAGGGGAAGCAGGCGCAGGGCGAGGAGAGGCTAGCAGCCACACACCCGCTCATACGCTCATGGATTCAACGGGCCCAGCCGTGAAGGGCGCCTCACCTCATCTACGGGTTGCAGCTCGAAGCGCACCATCAGCTCGTGCGTGCGCTCGTCCGCCTGCGCGCGGGGCAGAGGAACAGGCAGCGGGGGGGGAGGAGGGGAGGGGGGGGGGGGGGGAGGTGGCGCGGAGAGGAGTGGGTGAACGATAGGGGATGGAAGCGGGTGCGCATGCATGGTGGCATCTGCTGGTGCCATCCCGCTGGGAGGGCGAAATTGCAGCAAGTAATTGCGGCGGGAAAGCCATTGACCGTGGACGGGCGCCAAGAGCGCTCCGTCATATCGCGGCGGAGTCTACGGCGAGAGTCGCGTCGCGCTTATTGCGGGCGGTACCTGAAGCGCGACGGCCGTCAGGCGGCAGAAGATGTGGCTGGGCGGCAGCTGCTGTCGCCTCTTCGCCTGCGCGCTCTCCGTTGCGCTCCCACTGTCCGCTCCGCGCGACTTGCCGCTCCCTCCGCCAGGACTGCCGCTGCTTTGCGCGTATTGGCCGGCGGGAAGGGGGGAAGCGGATGCACGGCCTCGGGGGAGAGTGCAGCCGCTCGAGTCTGATTGGCTGGGCGATTGGCTCAACCCGCTGTTGCCGTGCGACGCGCTTGGCGAGTCGTCGCCGCTGTTGTGCGATTGCGACTCCGATTCCGACGTGGAGATGGCGATCGGCGACGACAGCCCCGACGGCGGCGAGCGCGGCGGCGACTCCGATTCGGTCAGTTGCGGTGGATCGCGCTGCGGTGGAGGGGGTGGGGGGCAGGAGATTGGGGAGGGGGGAAAACGTGAACTATGACGGGGAAAGCAAGGGGAGAGCATGGAGGTGGGGCAAACTCCTCACTAGAGGCGGAGCGGCGGACGCCACCCGTGAAACGCGGCGGATGTGAAAGCACAGACACCGGACCCACACGTGGGCCACCTGAATAATCTGATATCCGCGTCGTGCAATGAATTAACCTCGGCTAGGCGACGCCACTCAGTGATCGAGTCGTGACGACCCAGCACGCTGCAATCGCGACACGGGCTCTACCTGCGCGAGGCGCTGCTGTTGCTCCACGTGGCCCTGCGGGAAGTACACCACCAGCGACCCCACGGCCGGCACCGTCACCAGCGGCCCCGCGCACGCGTACCACAGCGCCGCGTCCTCCACCGCGCGCACGTGCCGGCTCGCCGCGCCGCCCATCGCGTCCAGGCGGGGCAGCGGCGGCGCGGCGGCGTTCACGGAACGTGAGACGCCCTCAACGCCGGCCACGGTAACGGCGTCTTCCGCGGATTGAGAGCGTTGGCTCCCCCGCGGAATCCGCACTCCCTTGCACTCTCGCTCCCGCGCGCCCGGCCCATATCCGTTGCCGGCGCCCGCGCGCTGCGCTCCCGCGTTCCGCGGAAAGTTTCCCGAGCCCCCAATGTCTGTTGTCTCGTTCGTCGAGTCGTCGTCGCTCGACGAGTAGCTTGCATCATTTTGCCAGCTGTCGCCTCGCGTCGCACGCTGCTCGCACTCCATGTCGTTATCCTAGTGCGACGTCCGGCTTGGTTGCCCCCTGCAAATGTCTCGATGACTAGGGGGAAGCTATTGGTGCATGTGAATTCGTACGGAAATAATGCGCCCCACTTCCGCACTCCTACCGCCGTATGTTCTATCGCTATCCGTCCGACTCGTTTCACACCCTCCGTTAAAATGGCTGATAATATATCAGATCCCGGCGAGGAGCCAAATGAACTGCGATCGCTCACATGGAAAATGTGCGAGGCCATGCTTTCAATGGAACGCGATACCCCCATGGGGCCTTGCTTGCATCAGATAAAAAACGATTGACTCGGGCGCTGCCGCCTTGAATTATGGGAGGCCGATGTGTTGGCTTGGCATTGGCATCAGCAAGCATCTGTGCTTTTGCCGCATCCCTGGCGCAGTGCGATCAAGTTGGCGATGAACCATTGCGCCGTACCGTGTGCTGCGACAAAGCTTCCCGTCGCACGTGCCTGCTTATTGCAGATTAAGGCGCACAGTGCATTACTGTAACCCGACAACTCGCCAGGCCATCTAATGCTCGACTCGCCTCGCCTCGCCTCTGAGAGAATTCCCTCCCCTATTGCCAAACCCGCCGTCTGATTCGCGGAGGGCGAGGGAACGCGTTCCAGCAATCGGGAAGTAACGGGGCAATGGAGGGGGACATCGATGCTCTAGCTGTGGAGATGCTTGGAACTGCACACGAAAAACCATAAACGTTTGAAGATGACTCCAGTGTATGATACGGATTTATTCTAGTAATAGGCCAGTTTCCAATATTTGTAGTGTCGAGCAGGAAGCGTTCTGGATTTAGGGAAAACCACCCTAGAGTTGAGACATGAAAGGAGACAGCGCTAACCATGGAGATTTGAGGGATGGGCCAATCGGAGTCGTAGTTGCAACACATGTAGTCCTGAAACTCACTTCCGCCCTCCCCCGACACACGTCAGCACTGTCGCCCAGATCTCACTCCCCCTTCAGGGCTACGGCTTACGCAAGATTGATAGACCGCACACCACACCTCTAAAGACTGCTGAATACGGACAGGAAGGCATTTGATTGGAGAGTCAAAATCCAGGACCACTGCGGCGACCATCCCCATTTGTGTCCAGTCCAAATGATGCTCCATATAATTCTCCACGTGCTCGCAAAAATGGGTATGCTTCAGGGTTTACCCTGCTACAACGGGTCTCCATAAAGTCGACTTCGGCAATAATGCTGCAGAGTTTCGTTCGGGCTGGCCTGCACTTCCACACTCTATACACGTTTCTTTATATGTTAATTGAAATCAACTAAACTTCCACAGAACTAGTGTCTCACATCACTCTCTCACCCACCAAGTTCCTCTCACAAAGTGCATTCAATTCACCGAGAATTTGAAAGAAGGCATTTCACCTTATAAAAAAATATACCATGCATACCGTCACCCCCCGGATATACCCCCATGGGGGGCTATAATATAACATGTTTTTTTGAGGGGGTGGGCTTATAATATAGTAAATTTATAAGCGCCGGCGTTTATAATTTGTCAAAATTGAATTTTGTTTTTAAATATACCAAATCGAAGCATTCTCAAAGGCGGATTCACCTGGGTCGAGAACGTTCGAAACTGTGCATGCATTGCGCGTGAAACGGCCAACAAGGCGTGGCTTCACGCCTTCCACGCCTTGTTGGCCAGGCCAGGTTCATCGAACGTGAACCTGGCCCATGCCAGTGCACACGTACCTCGCATCACAGCGGCCCAATCAGGGTTGCATGCGATCGTGGGCACGTCGTGGTTCAGCCACGGTGTGCCCATCAACAGCAAAATTCCCCGCCACCGAGGCAAGGAGCTGCCCAGCTCAGCTCCTCTGCGGGGAATCTTGACTGGGGCCACCCTTTTCCCGCAGAGGAGGCCGGGCCGCGAAAATGAAGGGGTCTCGGGCGAGGGCTTCATACAACCCTCATTCTCGACTTTTGCCTTCAGTTTCTTTGTTCGTTTGGCCTGCCGTGGCCATGGCGGGCCTTCCACGCACGCATTTCTTGTTCCGCCGCCATCCTGCTGCCAGAGAAAACACTCGCCGAGACACCTGTGACTACTCTCAATGGCAGTCGCGCCCTGCGCCCGTCCCTCCGTGTCAACCAGTAGCTCCTCCCGTTCCTCCCACTCCTCCAACTCCTCCTGCACCTCCCGCTCCCCCGGCGCCTCCGGTTCCTCCAGCTCCTCCGTCCCCTCCTGACCCTTGAGGATTTCCCTTCAGGTGAGCATTAACACCCACTGCTGCATGTTTTTTTTTTTCAATGTCTACTGATGTTGTATGTGCGTTTGTGGCTGTGCAGATGTTACGGTCTGCATCATTTTTATATTAATCAATCCTCTAATTTGAACTCGTCCCTACTTTCTAGTGTGAGAAAATATACTAATCATGTAACCAGACCCAGGTAACACCGGTTCCCAGCTCCCCTCCTACCCACATCCCTCACCTACTCCAAATGTCCCATTTCCTTTTGATTTCATGCCCCTCTCGCCCCTACCCACTACTCGCTTCCCCTACTCCCCCCTCCCCTTCCCCCCATCCCCTTCCCCTCACACTACAAGGTAAAACAAAACGAGCTACACCTCAAAACGACCTGTATGCAAGTCAATTATGAGTTACACCTCAAACAACTTGTAAACTGTGAGGCACATTATGCATGGGTGAGAAGAGGTGAGCTACCACGTGCTCGCTCACCGCCAGCTGACCCATGACTGCCCATACGCCCATGCCTTGCAAATCGGTGCACTAGCGAGCAGCAACGTGCCTTGCCACCCGTGCACTAGCAAGCAGAGTGTGCCTTGCAACCCGTGCACTAGCGAGGCTGCCTTGCGGTGCTGCGGGCAGTGGTCGTGGCAGCAGCGGCGGAGGCAGTGGTGGTAGAGGTGGGGGACGCAGCAGTAGCCGCAGCCTCGTCGAGTTGCTTCTGCTGCCTCGCCCTCACCACCTCCAGCTGTTGCTGCCGCCCCCCGCCCCCTGCCCGCTTGACGAGCCCCATAAACAGCCTCCTGCGCCGGCTGCGTGCCGCCACCCACCTGCCACGCACAGGGGAGACGAGTATGGGTGAGGACGGTAGGGAGGAGGGGAGCAAGGAGGGAAGGGAGGAGGGCGGTGAGGCACGCCGGCGCAAAGGCAAGCATGAGTATGTGACGGAAAATGCGAAGGGGGGAGGGGGGGAGGGGGAGGGGGGAGGAGGGAGAGAGGCGCACTGACCGCATGTAGGAGAGGCCAGCAGTGAGCACGAGGCCGCACACCATCCACACCACGCTGCCCCCAAACGGCCTCCCCCCCTCTCCGCCCGCCCACTGCTCCCACCACCCACTGCCCTCCTCCGCCTCCTCCTCCTCACCACTCCCCTTCTCCCCCTTCCTCCCGGCCCCCTTGTGCCTCCCCCTCACAACAGCAGCGGCAGAAGGGAGTATGCCGTCAAAGCACACCCTCTCATGCCCCTCCTCGTCCTCTCTCCCCCCCATCTCCTCCCCTCGCCCCCCTCCCCTCTGAACCCCCGCCCCGTGCGAGTCGGGCAGCCAATCAAAGCCCGCCAGCTGGCAGAACTGGCGGCCGGAGGAAGCAAGAGAGTCGGCCCGGGCACAGAGCGTGTCGCGGCGGCCGCAGGGGAAGATGTGCTGCCGGGGGGGAGGGCGGGGGAGCGGGGAGGGAGAGGGAAGGTGACGATGGGTTGGGGGGAAGTGGGTGATGGGGGGCGGGGAGATGGTTTGAGGATGAGGAATGTTGAAAGGGTGGAGAGCGGGGAAGGATGAGGAGGAGAGCCCAAAACCAGCAAAGAGCAAAAAAGGGTGATGGGATGGGATACAGACTCCAGGTCAACCTGAAATTTCACCTGGAGCACCTGATACGACCTACCTGGGAGGTGCCATCTGCTGCAAAAAATGCCGACCCACACGCAGAAAAGACGGCGTCACAGAACGAGTTGCAAATGGCGGGCGGCCCATGCTGGGTGCCAATGAGGGGGTGACACGTGGCACACTGCAGCGCCTCCCACTTGGCAATGCAGTCGTCCGTGGGCTCCCCCCCCACCACCAGCCGCCTGGGGGATGGGCGAGGGGGAGGGGAGCGGAGCAGGGGGAGGTGGGGGGAGTCGAGGCGAAGGGCAGGTCAAAGTGGGGGAAGGGCAATGGGAGGTGGAGGGCAGCAGCAGGAGCAAAGGCAGGGTAGGGAGGAGAGGGGGAGGCGGGGGCAGTTGCAAAGACGGAAAGAGGGGCACGCGGGGTGAGAACAGAGCTGCTTAACGGGGTAGAGGGCAAGGGGGCACCGCAAAACGGGGCGCATGGCACAGCGCCCCTCTGGCCTTCCCCATCGCCTGCCCTCACCCCACCACATGCCCTCCGTACCCACGTGCCCTCCGTACCCACGTGCCCTCCGTACCCACGTGCCCTCCATACCCACGTGCCCTCCGTACCCACGTGCCCTCCATACCCACGTGCCCTCCATACCCACGTGCCCTCCGTACCCACGTGCCCTCCGTACCCACGTGCCCTCCGTACCCACGTGCCCTCCATACCCACGTGCCCTCCATACCCACGTGCCCTCCATACCCACGTGCCCTCCATACCCACGTGCCCTCCATACCCACGTGCCCTCCGTACCCACGTGCCCTCCATACCCACGTGCCCTCCGTACCCACGTGCCCTCCGTACCCACGTGCCCTCCATACCCACGTGCCCTCCATACCCACGTGCCCTCCGTACCCACGTGCCCTCCATACCCACGTGCCCTCCGTACCCACGTGCCCTCCATACCCACGTGCCCTCCATACCCACGTGCCCTCCATACCCACGTGCCCTCCATACCCACGTGCCCTCCATACCCACGTGCCCTCCGTACCCACGTGCCCTCCATACCCACGTGCCCTCCGTACCCACGTGCCCTCCGTACCCACATGCCCTCCATACCCACGTGCCCTCCATACCCACGTGCCCTCCATACCCACGTGCCCTCCATACCCACGTGCCCTCCATACCCACGTGCCCTCCGTACCCACGTGCCCTCCGTACCCACTTGCCCTCCATACCCACGTGCCCTCCATACCCACGTGCCCTCCGTACCCACGTGCCCTCCATACCCACGTGCCCTCCAGACCCACGTGCCCTCCATACCCACGTGCCCTCCATACCCACGTGCCCTCCGTACCCACGTGCCCTCCGTACCCACGTGCCCTCCATACCCACGTGCCCTCCATACCCACGTGCCCTCCGTACCCACGTGCCCTCCATACCCACGTGCCCTCCATACCCACGTGCCCTCCATACCCACGTGCCCTCCATACCCACGTGCCCTCCATACCCACGTGCCCTCCGTACCCACGTGCCCTCCGTACCCACGTGCCCTCCATACCCACGTGCCCTCCATACCCACGTGCCCTCCGTACCCACGTGCCCTCCGTACCCACGTGCCCTCCATACCCACGTGCCCTCCATACCCACGTGCCCTCCATACCCACGTGCCCTCCATACCCACGTGCCCTCCATACCCACGTGCCCTCCATACCCACGTGCCCTCCATACCCACGTGCCCTCCATACCCACGTGCCCTCCATACCCAAGTGCCCTCCATACCCACGTGCCCTCCATACCCACGTGCCCTCCGTACCCACGTGCCCTCCGTACCCACGTGCCCTCCGTACCCACGTGCCCTCCGTACCCACGTGCCCTCCGTACCCACGTGCCCTCCGTACCCACGTGCCCTCCGTACCCACGTGCCCTCCTTACCCACGTGCCCTCCGTACCCACGTGCCCTCCGTACCCACGTGCCCTCCGTACCCACGTGCCCTCCGTACCCACGTGCCCTCCATACCCACGTGCCCTCCATACCCACGTGCCCTCCATACCCACGTGCCCTCCGTACCCACGTGCCCTCCGTACCCACGTGCCCTCCATACCCACGTGCCCTCCATACCCACGTGCCCTCCGTACCCACGTGCCCTCCATACCCACGTGCCCTCCATACCCACGTGACCTCCATACCCACGTGCCCTCCATACCCACGTGCCCTCCATACCCACGTGCCCTCCATACCCACGTGCCCTCCATACCCACGTGCCCTCCATACCCACGTGCCCTCCATACCCACGTGCCCTCCATACCCACGTGCCCTCCATACCCACGTGCCCTCCATACCCACGTGCCCTCCATACCCACGTGCCCTCCATACCCACGTGCCCTCCATACCCACGTGCCCTCTGTACCCACGTGCCCTCCGTACCCACGTGCCCTCCATACCCACGTGCCCTCCATACCCACGTGCCCTCCGTACCCACGTGCCCTCCATACCCACGTGCCCTCCATACCCACGTGCCCTCCATACCCACGTGCCCTCCATACCCACGTGCCCTCCATACCCACGTGCCCTCCGTACCCACGTGCCCTCCGTACCCACGTGCCCTCCATACCCACGTGCCCTCCATACCCACGCTCCCTCCGTACACACGTGCCCTCCGTACCCACGTGCCCTCCATACCCACGTGCCCTCCATACCCACGTGCCCTCCATACCCACGTGCCCTCCATACCCACGTGCCCTCCATACCCACGTGCCCTCCATACCCACGTGCCCTCCATACCCACGTGCCCTCCATACCCACGTGCCCTCCATACCCACGTGCCCTCCATACCCACGTGCCCTCCATACCCACGTGCCCTCCATACCCACGTGCCCTCCGTACCCACGTGCCCTCCGTACCCACGTGCCCTCCGTACCCACGTGCCCTCCATACCCACGTGCCCTCCGTACCCACGTGCCCTCCGTACCCACGTGCCCTCCGTACCCACGTGCCCTCCGTACCCACGTGCCCTCCATACCAGCGTGCCCTCCATACCCACGTGCCCTCCGTACCCACGTGCCCTCCGTACCCACGTGCCCTCCGTACCCACGTGCCCTCCGTACCCACGTGCCCTCCATACCCACGTGCCCTCCGTACCCACGTGCCCTCCGTACCCACGTGCCCTCCGTACCCACGTGCCCTCCGTACCCACGTGCCCTCCATACCCACGTGCCCTCCATACCCACGTGCCCTCCATACCCACGTGCCCTCCATACCCACGTGCCCTCCGTACCCACGTGCCCTCCGTACCCACGTGCCCTCCATACCCACGTGCCCTCCGTACCCACGTGCCCTCCGTACCCACGTGCCCTCCGTACCCACGTGCCCTCCGTACCCACGTGCCCTCCGTACCCACGTGCCCTCCGTACCCACGTGCCCTCCATACCCACGTGCCCTCCATACCCACGTGCCCTCCGTACCCACGTGCCCTCCATACCCACGTGCCCTCCATACCCACGTGCCCTCCATACCCACGTGCCCTCCATACCCACGTGCCCTCCATACCCACGTGCCCTCCATACCCACGTGCCCTCCATACCCACGTGCCCTCCGTACCCACGTGCCCTCCGTACCCACGTGCCCTCCGTACCCACGTGCCCTCCATACCCACGTGCCCTCCGTACCCACGTGCCCTCCGTACCCACGTGCCCTCCGTACCCACGTGCCCTCCGTACCCACGTGCCCTCCATACCCACGTGCCCTCCATACCCACGTGCCCTCCATACCCACGTGCCCTCCGTACCCACGTGCCCTCCGTACCCACGTGCCCTCCATACCCACGTGCCCTCCATACCCACGTGCCCTCCATACCCACGTGCCCTCCATACCCACGTGCCCTCCATACCCACGTGCCCTCCATACCCACGTGCCCTCCGTACCCACGTGCCCTCCATACCCACGTGCCCTCCATACCCACGTGCCCTCCATACCCACGTGCCCTCCATACCCACGTGCCCTCCATACCCACGTGCCCTCCGTACCCACGTGCCCTCCGTACCCACGTGCCCTCCGTACCCACGTGCCCTCCGTACCCACGTGCCCTCCGTACCCACGTGCCCTCCGTACCCACGTGCCCTCCGTACCCACGTGCCCTCCATACCCACGTGCCCTCCATACCCACGTGCCCTCCGTACCCACGTGCCCTCCGTACCCACGTGCCCTCCGTACCCACGTGCCCTCCATACCCACGTGCCCTCCATACCCACGTGCCCTCCATACCCACGTGCCCTCCGTACCCACGTGCCCTCCGTACCCACGTGCCCTCCATACCCACGTGCCCTCCATACCCACGTGCCCTCCATACCCACGTGCCCTCCATACCCACGCTCCCTCCGTACACACGTGCCCTCCGTACCCACGTGCCCTCCATACCCACGTGCCCTCCATACCCACGTGCCCTCCATACCCACGTGCCCTCCATACCCACGTGCCCTCCATACCCACGTGCCCTCCATACCCACGTGCCCTCCATACCCACGTGCCCTCCATACCCACGTGCCCTCCATACCCACGTGCCCTCCGTACCCACGTGCCCTCCATACCCACGTGCCCTCCATACCCACGTGCCCTCCATACCCACGTGCCCTCCATACCCACGCTCCCTCCGTACACACGTGCCCTCCGTACCCACGTGCCCTCCATACCCACGTGCCCTCCATACCCACGTGCCCTCCATACCCACGTGCCCTCCATACCCACGTGCCCTCCATACCCACGTGCCCTCCATACCCACGTGCCCTCCATACCCACGTGCCCTCCATACCCACGTGCCCTCCATACCCACGTGCCCTCCATACCCACGTGCCCTCCGTACCCACGTGCCCTCCGTACCCACGTGCCCTCCATACCCACGTGCCCTCCGTACCCACGTGCCCTCCGTACCCACGTGCCCTCCGTACCCACGTGCCCTCCGTACCCACGTGCCCTCCGTACCCACGTGCCCTCCGTACCCACGTGCCCTCCATACCCACGTGCCCTCCATACCCACGTGCCCTCCGTACCCACGTGCCCTCCATACCCACGTGCCCTCCATACCCACGTGCCCTCCATACCCACGTGCCCTCCATACCCACGTGCCCTCCATACCCACGTGCCCTCCGTACCCACGTGCCCTCCGTACCCACGTGCCCTCCATACCCACGTGCCCTCCGTACCCACGTGCCCTCCGTACCCACGTGCCCTCCGTACCCACGTGCCCTCCATACCCACGTGCCCTCCATACCCACGTGCCCTCCATACCCACGTGCCCTCCATACCCACGTGCCCTCCATACCCACGTGCCCTCCGTACCCACGTGCCCTCCGTACCCACGTGCCCTCCATACCCACGTGCCCTCCATACCCACGTGCCCTCCGTACCCACGTGCCCTCCATACCCACGTGCCCTCCATACCCACGTGCCCTCCATACCCACGTGCCCTCCATACCCACGTGCCCTCCATACCCACGTGCCCTCCATACCCACGTGCCCTCCGTACCCACGTGCCCTCCGTACCCACGTGCCCTCCATACCCACGTGCCCTCCATACCCACGTGCCCTCCATACCCACGTGCCCTCCGTACCCACGTGCCCTCCGTACCCACGTGCCCTCCGTACCCACGTGCCCTCCATACCCACGTGCCCTCCATACCCACGTGCCCTCCATACCCACGTGCCCTCCGTACCCACGTGCCCTCCGTACCCATGTGCCCTCCATACCCACGTGCCCTCCATACCCACGTGCCCTCCATACCCACGTGCCCTCCATACCCACGCTCCCTCCGTACACACGTGCCCTCCGTACCCACGTGCCCTCCATACCCACGTGCCCTCCATACCCACGTGCCCTCCATACCCACGTGCCCTCCATACCCACGTGCCCTCCATACCCACGTGCCCTCCATACCCACGTGCCCTCCGTACCCACGTGCCCTCCATACCCACGTGCCCTCCATACCCACGTGCCCTCCATACCCACGTGCCCTCCATACCCACGCTCCCTCCGTACACACGTGCCCTCCGTACCCACGTGCCCTCCATACCCACGTGCCCTCCATACCCACGTGCCCTCCATACCCACGTGCCCTCCATACCCACGTGCCCTCCATACCCACGTGCCCTCCATACCCACGTGCCCTCCATACCCACGTGCCCTCCATACCCACGTGCCCTCCATACCCACGTGCCCTCCATACCCACGTGCCCTCCATACCCACGTGCCCTCCGTACCCACGTGCCCTCCGTACCCACGTGCCCTCCATACCCACGTGCCCTCCGTACCCACGTGCCCTCCGTACCCACGTGCCCTCCGTACCCACGTGCCCTCCGTACCCACGTGCCCTCCATACCCACGTGCCCTCCATACCCACGTGCCCTCCATACCCACGTGCCCTCCGTACCCACGTGCCCTCCGTACCCACGTGCCCTCCATACCCACGTGCCCTCCATACCCACGTGCCCTCCATACCCACGTGCCCTCCATACCCACGTGCCCTCCATACCCACGTGCCCTCCATACCCACGTGCCCTCCGTACCCACGTGCCCTCCATACCCACGTGCCCTCCATACCCACGTGCCCTCCGTACCCACGTGCCCTCCGTACCCACGTGCCCTCCATACCCACGTGCCCTCCGTACCCACGTGCCCTCCATACCCACGTGCCCTCCATACCCACGTGCCCTCCGTACCCACGTGCCCTCCATACCCACGTGCCCTCCATACCCACGTGCCCTCCATATCCACGTGCCCTCCATACCCACGTGCCCTCCATACCCACGTGCCCTCTGTACCCACGTGCCCTCCGTACCCACGTGCCCTCCATACCCACGTGCCCTCCGTACCCACGTGCCCTCCGTACCCACGTGCCCTCCGTACCCACGTGCCCTCCATACCCACGTGCCCTCCATACCCACGTGCCCTCCATACCCACGTGCCCTCCATACCCACGTGCCCTCCATACCCACGTGCCCTCCGTACCCACGTGCCCTCCGTACCCACGTGCCCTCCATACCCACGTGCCCTCCATACCCACGTGCCCTCCGTACCCACGTGCCCTCCATACCCACGTGCCCTCCATACCCACGTGCCCTCCATACCCACGTGCCCTCCATACCCACGTGCCCTCCATACCCACGTGCCCTCCATACCCACGTGCCCTCCGTACCCACGTGCCCTCCGTACCCACGTGCCCTCCATACCCACGTGCCCTCCATACCCACGTGCCCTCCATACCCACGTGCCCTCCGTACCCACGTGCCCTCCGTACCCACGTGCCCTCCGTACCCACGTGCCCTCCATACCCACGTGCCCTCCATACCCACGTGCCCTCCATACCCACGTGCCCTCCGTACCCACGTGCCCTCCGTACCCACGTGCCCTCCATACCCACGTGCCCTCCATACCCACGTGCCCTCCATACCCACGTGCCCTCCATACCCACGCTCCCTCCGTACACACGTGCCCTCCGTACCCACGTGCCCTCCATACCCACGTGCCCTCCATACCCACGTGCCCTCCATACCCACGTGCCCTCCATACCCACGTGCCCTCCATACCCACGTGCCCTCCATACCCACGTGCCCTCCATACCCACGTGCCCTCCATACCCACGTGCCCTCCGTACCCACGTGCCCTCCATACCCACGTGCCCTCCATACCCACGTGCCCTCCATACCCACGTGCCCTCCATACCCACGCTCCCTCCGTACACACGTGCCCTCCGTACCCACGTGCCCTCCATACCCACGTGCCCTCCATACCCACGTGCCCTCCATACCCACGTGCCCTCCATACCCACGTGCCCTCCATACCCACGTGCCCTCCATACCCACGTGCCCTCCATACCCACGTGCCCTCCATACCCACGTGCCCTCCATACCCACGTGCCCTCCATACCCACGTGCCCTCCGTACCCACGTGCCCTCCGTACCCACGTGCCCTCCGTACCCACGTGCCCTCCATACCCACGTGCCCTCCGTACCCACGTGCCCTCCGTACCCACGTGCCCTCCGTACCCACGTGCCCTCCGTACCCACGTGCCCTCCATACCCACGTGCCCTCCATACCCACGTGCCCTCCATACCCACGTGCCCTCCGTACCCACGTGCCCTCCGTACCCACGTGCCCTCCATACCCACGTGCCCTCCATACCCACGTGCCCTCCATACCCACGTGCCCTCCATACCCACGTGCCCTCCATACCCACGTGCCCTCCATACCCACGTGCCCTCCGTACCCACGTGCCCTCCATACCCACGTGCCCTCCATACCCACGTGCCCTCCATACCCACGTGCCCTCCATACCCACATGCCCTCCATACCCACGTGCCCTCCATACCCACGTGCCCTCCGTACCCACGTGCCCTCCGTACCCACGTGCCCTCCGTACCCACGTGCCCTCCGTACCCACGTGCCCTCCGTACCCACGTGCCCTCCGTACCCACGTGCCCTCCGTACCCACGTGCCCTCCATACCCACGTGCCCTCCATACCCACGTGCCCTCCGTACCCACGTGCCCTCCGTACCCACGTGCCCTCCGTACCCACGTGCCCTCCATACCCACGTGCCCTCCATACCCACGTGCCCTCCATACCCACGTGCCCTCCGTACCCACGTGCCCTCCGTACCCACGTGCCCTCCATACCCACGTGCCCTCCATACCCACGTGCCCTCCATACCCACGTGCCCTCCATACCCACGCTCCCTCCGTACACACGTGCCCTCCGTACCCACGTGCCCTCCATACCCACGTGCCCTCCATACCCACGTGCCCTCCATACCCACGTGCCCTCCATACCCACGTGCCCTCCATACCCACGTGCCCTCCATACCCACGTGCCCTCCATACCCACGTGCCCTCCATACCCACGTGCCCTCCGTACCCACGTGCCCTCCATACCCACGTGCCCTCCATACCCACGTGCCCTCCATACCCACGTGCCCTCCATACCCACGCTCCCTCCGTACACACGTGCCCTCCGTACCCACGTGCCCTCCATACCCACGTGCCCTCCATACCCACGTGCCCTCCATACCCACGTGCCCTCCATACCCACGTGCCCTCCATACCCACGTGCCCTCCATACCCACGTGCCCTCCATACCCACGTGCCCTCCATACCCACGTGCCCTCCATACCCACGTGCCCTCCATACCCACGTGCCCTCCGTACCCACGTGCCCTCCGTACCCACGTGCCCTCCGTACCCACGTGCCCTCCATACCCACGTGCCCTCCGTACCCACGTGCCCTCCGTACCCACGTGCCCTCCGTACCCACGTGCCCTCCGTACCCACGTGCCCTCCATACCCACGTGCCCTCCATACCCACGTGCCCTCCATACCCACGTGCCCTCCGTACCCACGTGCCCTCCGTACCCACGTGCCCTCCATACCCACGTGCCCTCCATACCCACGTGCCCTCCATACCCACGTGCCCTCCATACCCACGTGCCCTCCATACCCACGTGCCCTCCATACCCACGTGCCCTCCGTACCCACGTGCCCTCCATACCCACGTGCCCTCCATACCCACGTGCCCTCCATACCCACGTGCCCTCCATACCCACATGCCCTCCATACCCACGTGCCCTCCATACCCACGTGCCCTCCGTACCCACGTGCCCTCCGTACCCACGTGCCCTCCGTACCCACGTGCCCTCCGTACCCACGTGCCCTCCGTACCCACGTGCCCTCCGTACCCACGTGCCCTCCGTACCCACGTGCCCTCCATACCCACGTGCCCTCCATACCCACGTGCCCTCCGTACCCACGTGCCCTCCGTACCCACGTGCCCTCCGTACCCACGTGCCCTCCATACCCACGTGCCCTCCATACCCACGTGCCCTCCATACCCACGTGCCCTCCGTACCCACGTGCCCTCCGTACCCACGTGCCCTCCATACCCACGTGCCCTCCATACCCACGTGCCCTCCATACCCACGTGCCCTCCATACCCACGCTCCCTCCGTACACACGTGCCCTCCGTACCCACGTGCCCTCCATACCCACGTGCCCTCCATACCCACGTGCCCTCCATACCCACGTGCCCTCCATACCCACGTGCCCTCCATACCCACGTGCCCTCCATACCCACGTGCCCTCCATACCCACGTGCCCTCCATACCCACGTGCCCTCCGTACCCACGTGCCCTCCATACCCACGTGCCCTCCATACCCACGTGCCCTCCATACCCACGTGCCCTCCATACCCACGCTCCCTCCGTACACACGTGCCCTCCGTACCCACGTGCCCTCCATACCCACGTGCCCTCCATACCCACGTGCCCTCCATACCCACGTGCCCTCCATACCCACGTGCCCTCCATACCCACGTGCCCTCCATACCCACGTGCCCTCCATACCCACGTGCCCTCCATACCCACGTGCCCTCCATACCCACGTGCCCTCCATACCCACGTGCCCTCCGTACCCACGTGCCCTCCGTACCCACGTGCCCTCCATACCCACGTGCCCTCCGTACCCACGTGCCCTCCGTACCCACGTGCCCTCCGTACCCACGTGCCCTCCGTACCCACGTGCCCTCCGTACCCACGTGCCCTCCGTACCCACGTGCCCTCCATACCCACGTGCCCTCCATACCCACGTGCCCTCCGTACCCACGTGCCCTCCATACCCACGTGCCCTCCATACCCACGTGCCCTCCATACCCACGTGCCCTCCATACCCACGTGCCCTCCATACCCACGTGCCCTCCGTACCCACGTGCCCTCCGTACCCACGTGCCCTCCATACCCACGTGCCCTCCGTACCCACGTGCCCTCCGTACCCACGTGCCCTCCGTACCCACGTGCCCTCCATACCCACGTGCCCTCCATACCCACGTGCCCTCCATACCCACGTGCCCTCCATACCCACGTGCCCTCCATACCCACGTGCCCTCCGTACCCACGTGCCCTCCGTACCCACGTGCCCTCCATACCCACGTGCCCTCCATACCCACGTGCCCTCCGTACCCACGTGCCCTCCATACCCACGTGCCCTCCATACCCACGTGCCCTCCATACCCACGTGCCCTCCATACCCACGTGCCCTCCATACCCACGTGCCCTCCATACCCACGTGCCCTCCGTACCCACGTGCCCTCCGTACCCACGTGCCCTCCATACCCACGTGCCCTCCATACCCACGTGCCCTCCATACCCACGTGCCCTCCGTACCCACGTGCCCTCCGTACCCACGTGCCCTCCGTACCCACGTGCCCTCCATACCCACGTGCCCTCCATACCCACGTGCCCTCCATACCCACGTGCCCTCCGTACCCACGTGCCCTCCGTACCCACGTGCCCTCCATACCCACGTGCCCTCCATACCCACGTGCCCTCCATACCCACGTGCCCTCCATACCCACGCTCCCTCCGTACACACGTGCCCTCCGTACCCACGTGCCCTCCATACCCACGTGCCCTCCATACCCACGTGCCCTCCATACCCACGTGCCCTCCATACCCACGTGCCCTCCATACCCACGTGCCCTCCATACCCACGTGCCCTCCATACCCACGTGCCCTCCATACCCACGTGCCCTCCGTACCCACGTGCCCTCCATACCCACGTGCCCTCCATACCCACGTGCCCTCCATACCCACGTGCCCTCCATACCCACGCTCCCTCCGTACACACGTGCCCTCCGTACCCACGTGCCCTCCATACCCACGTGCCCTCCATACCCACGTGCCCTCCATACCCACGTGCCCTCCATACCCACGTGCCCTCCATACCCACGTGCCCTCCATACCCACGTGCCCTCCATACCCACGTGCCCTCCATACCCACGTGCCCTCCATACCCACGTGCCCTCCATACCCACGTGCCCTCCGTACCCACGTGCCCTCCGTACCCACGTGCCCTCCGTACCCACGTGCCCTCCATACCCACGTGCCCTCCGTACCCACGTGCCCTCCGTACCCACGTGCCCTCCGTACCCACGTGCCCTCCGTACCCACGTGCCCTCCATACCCACGTGCCCTCCATACCCACGTGCCCTCCATACCCACGTGCCCTCCGTACCCACGTGCCCTCCGTACCCACGTGCCCTCCATACCCACGTGCCCTCCATACCCACGTGCCCTCCATACCCACGTGCCCTCCATACCCACGTGCCCTCCATACCCACGTGCCCTCCATACCCACGTGCCCTCCGTACCCACGTGCCCTCCATACCCACGTGCCCTCCATACCCACGTGCCCTCCGTACCCACGTGCCCTCCGTACCCACGTGCCCTCCATACCCACGTGCCCTCCGTACCCACGTGCCCTCCGTACCCACGTGCCCTCCGTACCCACGTGCCCTCCATACCCACGTGCCCTCCATACCCACGTGCCCTCCATACCCACGTGCCCTCCATACCCACGTGCCCTCCATACCCACGTGCCCTCCGTACCCACGTGCCCTCCGTACCCACGTGCCCTCCATACCCACGTGCCCTCCATACCCACGTGCCCTCCGTACCCACGTGCCCTCCATACCCACGTGCCCTCCATACCCACGTGCCCTCCATACCCACGTGCCCTCCATACCCACGTGCCCTCCATACCCACGTGCCCTCCATACCCACGTGCCCTCCGTACCCACGTGCCCTCCGTACCCACGTGCCCTCCATACCCACGTGCCGTCCATACCCACGTGCCCTCCGTACCCACGTGCCCTCCATACCCACGTGCCCTCCATACCCACGTGCCCTCCATACCCACGTGCCCTCCATACCCACGTGCCCTCCATACCCACGTGCCCTCCATACCCACGTGCCCTCCGTACCCACGTGCCCTCCGTACCCACGTGCCCTCCATACCCACGTGCCCTCCGTACCCACGTGCCCTCCGTACCCACGTGCCCTCCGTACCCACGTGCCCTCCATACCCACGTGCCCTCCATACCCACGTGCCCTCCATACCCACGTGCCCTCCATACCCACGTGCCCTCCGTACCCACGTGCCCTCCGTACCCACGTGCCCTCCGTACCCACGTGCCCTCCATACCCACGTGCCCTCCGTACCCACGTGCCCTCCGTACCCACGTGCCCTCCGTACCCACGTGCCCTCCGTACCCACGTGCCCTCCATACCCACGTGCCCTCCATACCCACGTGCCCTCCATACCCACGTGCCCTCCGTACCCACGTGCCCTCCGTACCCACGTGCCCTCCATACCCACGTGCCCTCCATACCCACGTGCCCTCCATACCCACGTGCCCTCCGTACCCACGTGCCCTCCATACCCACGTGCCCTCCATACCCACGTGCCCTCCGTACCCACGTGCCCTCCGTACCCACGTGCCCTCCGTACCCACGTGCCCTCCGTACCCACGTGCCCTCCGTACCCACGTGCCCTCCGTACCCACGTGCCCTCCATACCCACGTGCCCTCCATACCCACGTGCCCTCCGTACCCACGTGCCCTCCATACCCACGTGCCCTCCATACCCACGTGCCCTCCATACCCACGTGCCCTCCATACCCACGTGCCCTCCATACCCACGTGCCCTCCGTACCCACGTGCCCTCCGTACCCACGTGCCCTCCATACCCACGTGCCCTCCGTACCCACGTGCCCTCCGTACCCACGTGCCCTCCGTACCCACGTGCCCTCCATACCCACGTGCCCTCCATACCCACGTGCCCTCCATACCCACGTGCCCTCCATACCCACGTGCCCTCCATACCCACGTGCCCTCCGTACCCACGTGCCCTCCGTACCCACGTGCCCTCCATACCCACGTGCCCTCCATACCCACGTGCCCTCCGTACCCACGTGCCCTCCATACCCACGTGCCCTCCATACCCACGTGCCCTCCATACCCACGTGCCCTCCATACCCACGTGCCCTCCATACCCACGTGCCCTCCATACCCACGTGCCCTCCGTACCCACGTGCCCTCCGTACCCACGTGCCCTCCATACCCACGTGCCCTCCATACCCACGTGCCCTCCATACCCACGTGCCCTCCATACCCACGTGCCCTCCATACCCACGTGCCCTCCATACCCACGTGCCCTCCATACCCACGTGCCCTCCATACCCACGTGCCCTCCATACCCACGTGCCCTCCATACCCACGTGCCCTCCGTACCCACGTGCCCTCCGTACCCACGTGCCCTCCATACCCACGTGCCCTCCATACCCACGTGCCCTCCATACCCACGTGCCCTCCGTACCCACGTGCCCTCCGTACCCACGTGCCCTCCGTACCCACGTGCCCTCCATACCCACGTGCCCTCCATACCCACGTGCCCTCCATACCCACGTGCCCTCCGTACCCACGTGCCCTCCGTACCCACGTGCCCTCCGTACCCACGTGCCCTCCATACCCACGTGCCCTCCGTACCCACGTGCCCTCCGTACCCACGTGCCCTCCGTACCCACGTGCCCTCCGTACCCACGTGCCCTCCGTACCCACGTGCCCTCCGTACCCACGTGCCCTCCATACCCACGTGCCCTCCATACCCACGTGCCCTCCGTACCCACGTGCCCTCCATACCCACGTGCCCTCCATACCCACGTGCCCTCCATACCCACGTGCCCTCCATACCCACGTGCCCTCCATACCCACGTGCCCTCCGTACCCACGTGCCCTCCGTACCCACGTGCCCTCCATACCCACGTGCCCTCCGTACCCACGTGCCCTCCGTACCCACGTGCCCTCCGTACCCACGTGCCCTCCGTACCCACGTGCCCTCCGTACCCACGTGCCCTCCATACCCACGTGCCCTCCATACCCACGTGCCCTCCATACCCACGTGCCCTCCATACCCACGTGCCCTCCGTACCCACGTGCCCTCCGTACCCACGTGCCCTCCGTACCCACGTGCTTGTGCTGCCCGCTCGAGCCCAGGGGGCTATCCACGCACGGCACCACCCACGCCACTCCGCCCCACTGCCTCTTCCCCTTCCCTCCCACCCCCCTCCTCTCCCCCCCTTTCCCTCTTCCCCTTCCCTCCCACCCCCCTCCTCTCCCCCCCTTTCCCTCTTCCCCTTCCCTCCCACCCCCCTCCTCTTCCCCCCTTTTCCTATTTCCTCCTCTCCCCACCTTCTTTTCTCGCCACTCACCGGGTGGAGATGAGGGCGTGGTCGCTGTTCTCGCGCCCACAGCACGTGCGCTCCTTGTACACGCGGCACAGCGTCAGCTCCTGCACGCCGCCCTTCGGGCTCTTTCGCGGAAGCTTCCCGTGCAGCCAGAAGGGCGGCCACTGCCCGCCCTGCGATATGCAGCGCCCGGGGGGGACTGCGCGGGGAAGTGTGGGGGGGAATAGCGGTGTCGGGGGAGAGAGGGGAGGAGGGAGGAGAGGAAGGGGTGGGGGGCGGTGGGGAAAGGGAAAGCGGGGGGGGGGGGGGGTGTGTGGGGAAGGTATAGGGCGGAGCAGAGAACGACGGTAGGGGCGAGATGCGGACGAGACGGTGGCTGGGAGGCTGGGAAGGCGGGGCGGGGGAGTGGGAGGCGAGTTGGGGAGGGAAGGCGGCGGAGGGGTGGACGGGGAAGCAGAGGTTACATGACAGGGTGGGTCGTAAGGTGCAGGAATTGCGGGGAAAGGAGGGTTGGCAGTGGAGCGGGAGGTGGAGTGATGTGGTGCGGGGATGGAGATGAGTGGGACGGAGGGGATGATAGGCAGACGGCGCGCGAGGCTGGTGCCACTCCGCGCGCTCTCCAAAGCATGCGGGACGGCCGCCGCACGGGATTAGAGCGCGATTTCGCAAGAGGGGAGGAGAGAGGAGCGAAAAGAGAGGAGAGGCGAGGGGAGAGGGGAGAGGCTGGCGATCGCGCGGTTGAGATGCAGAGACGAGACCGGCACGACGGACCTGATGAATTCGATTTCCGCGACTCGCTAGAGACGCGGCGCGTATTTCCCGCGGATCCAGCGGCGAGGGAGAGTGACGGCAGCAGCGACGCGGCGATAACGATCACCGCGCACGCGCGCGCACATAGCGACGACGACCGGCGATCCGCTTCCGGAACCCTCATAGGGCAATACCGCGGCCGGCGCGCTGCCGGTCGGCACGGAGGTTTGGGCATCGCGAGGGTGCCAGCTGGCAGTGACGTGGTGGTCAGGTGAATGTGGAACGGGATGGCGCGACGAGTGAGATTGGCGAAGGATTTTAGAAGGCCCCCGATCTCTGCTCTAGTTGTGGGAATTTCATCCGCGCTATACAGGACGGCCAGGGCCGCAATAAGCCGCAACCAGAAAACTGAGTAAAGTAACATCCCGTCTTACATATGCAATTCAAGCTAAATCCTTCTACGCTTCTTTTTTGTCGGCTGCACCACAACAGCACGCTCGCTTGCACTATCGCGTGGCGCACATTGCGAGTGGGTCTGCAGAACCACCGCCGGAGCCCGCACCACCTCCGGCACTGCCCCGGCATCACAGGCACCCTCACCTACACCCTCCGATTCCCCTCCTGCCATGCCTTGCGCCACACTCGCAGGGCAGCTGCCATGCGCCTCCCTGGCGTGCGTGTGCTCTGTGCCGTCTGAACGGTGCTCGTGTGCAATCCTTATCCCATGCTCCCATGCCGGACAGTCCCTCGCTGTGTCTGTCTGCAGTGGCGGATGGCATGCGAGAGAACACACAAGTGGGGGAAGGGACGCACGGCAAGGGACATGCTGAGCAGATGGCAGCTGTGCACAAGGGATATGCTGAACGAATATAGTGGAAAGGACAGTGGGAGCGTTCATAAGGCGCAGACAAACCAATGGAGCAGGATGTGGGGAGGGGGGTAGGGAGAGGAGGGGGGGAAGGGGAGAGGAAGGGGGAAATCGGGTGGGGAAAAGGAAGGGGTGGAGAATAAGACGGTCGAGTGAAGGGCAGGGCGTAAGGAGAGCCAAGCGCAGAGCTAGGGGGAACGAACATGCGGCATACAATAGGCGGGGTGCTGTGGGGATGTGGTGGGGCGTGCAGCACAGCGAGGTGCGATCGCACACGGGCCACAGCAGCATCCATGGAGGCAACGCCGAAGTAGCATGGAGCGTGGGGTGGGGGGGTGGTGTCACTGGTGCTGGTGCCGAAGGTGCTGCCAGGGGTGTTGCTGGTGGCAGCGGTGCTGCAGGCGTGCCTGCTGCTCGTTGCAATGATCATGTCGCTGCTGCTGTCTGTGTTGATGGCGCTGCTGGTGCCAGCTGCTGCCACGTGTTGCTGATGTGGCTGGGCGAGCTGCTGATGTGGCTGGGTGGGTTGCTGATGTGGCTGGGCGGGCTGCAGGCGAGAGTGTGGAGTGAGTGCGGGGATGGCGGAAGGGAGAGGCAGGGTTGGTGCCTGAGGGTGGGTGGGGAGGAGAAGAGAAGAACCGGGCCAAGGTCAAAGTTACAGCACGGCTGGCACTGCATGTGCATGCACCTATGGTATAAGTCTAGGGCCCATGGCGTAGGGTGCGGGCTTGGGGTGTGGGGTGTAGTGTAGGTGAATGCTTAGGGTGTGGGGTTCAGGCAAGGCAAGGAGCAGTGAGTGTGAGAGCAGCGGGGCACACCTGGGGACGCGGCGGAGGAAGGGGTGCCAGTGGCGGGATGCTGCCTGCTGCTGCTGCTGCAGCTCTTGATGCCAACGCTGCTGCCGGTGAAGCTGCTGCTGTTGATGTTGCTGCCGCCGGTAAAGTGTCACCCATCCCTGCGGGCGCCTCTCTGTGCCTTGCCCTGCTGTCATCCTGCCCTCCACCCGTCTGCAAACCCGCCTGCTCCTCCGCCAGCCCTGCCAGGGGTACCCAGCAGTGCAGCAGCACGGCAGAGTGGTTTCAAGCATCAATGCATGGTTTGCAGCCAGGCTCACGTTGTCCCATCTCACACCACCTCCTTCTCTCCATCTCGCCTCCTCTATGCCTACTTCTGTTTCCCTCTCCAAGCCCACCTCCCTTTCCCCCCTTCTCCCCATCTTCCCCTCTCACCCGAACAAACCCCACTTCTCCACTTCGTAACTCCTCTAGATTCCCACTCCCCACACCCCCTTCCCTATTCACCCCCCATCTCTCACGTCGGCAACGAATGGCCACGATTCGCCCTCGCTCCTCCAGCTTCGCCCACGTGTCCTCCATCGCCTCATGCCCGGGCAGGTACGAAACTTTCAATGCGCTGCCCATGAATGGATACTCGTCCAGCTTTCTCTTTGCGAACCTGGGCAGAGCGAAGGAACAGGCAGCATGGAGGGAGACATAATGATAGGAGGAAGGGAATAGAGAAGGGGCATGGTGTTTGGACGATTCATGCAAGGCAAGCACAAAGCACTGAGCATATATTTAGATTGTCACGCACTGCAATGTGCGCTTGAAATTCCAAGATTTCTGCGGATTCAATTCCAACGCACGCCGCACCTGGCGTGGTGGAGGTGGGTGAATTTGAGCCACACGACGTCGGTGAAGGGAGGGGCGTCCTCCTCGTCCATCATGCGGTGCCTGCCACGTCATGTCATGTGGTGCCACGTCATGTGGTGGCGTGGTGGTGTGATCGCATAACGGCATGGTGGCATGGTGGGATGATTGCATGACATACGTGAAAGAGCTTCAAAGACATGGAGGAATGCGAGCATGATTAGTTGACAAGGCAACAACATGTCATGATGCCATGATGCAGCAGGCGGCATGGCTCACACTCCGCCACAACTCACTCCGCCCCACCTCACTCCGCCACGACTCACTCCTCAACGGGCCCATGCGTGGAGAACAGCCGGAGCAGGTCGTCCACACACCCCAGCGCCGGCACGTTGCGCACCATCAGGTATCTGCGGTGTGCGGTGCGATGGAGAGCGGTGCAGCAGTGACGCATGTGACGGCGCAAGGCACAAGTCACAAGTAGTGGCAATGAGGTATGGTTACTGGCAGAGATACACATGACTGTAGAAACATCCATGCCATGTCATCCCATCCCATCCCATCCCATCCCATCCCATCCCATCCCATCCCATCCCATCCCATCCCATCCCATCCCATCCAATCCCATCCCATCCCACACCACACACCACACACCACACCACACCACACCACACCGCACCGCACCTTGACTCATCGTTCACAGTGTAAACGCGCACAGCCCTCTCGCGCCTCCCCGCCCGATACTCCGCGCGCGTGTGGCACACTCTGTCGTCGTCCTCCTCCTCGCCGTCCCACATGGCTTCGGCAGCGGCGGAAGAAGCGGCAGTTACGGCGCAGGGCAGATTTGGCGCTTCACCAGAGAGGAGAGCGGGACAGCGAGGGAGTAGGAGAAACAGCGCAGGTCCTGCGTCCGCGACCTGGCCTAGGGATTTGCGAGCCGTGACGGCGCTTCTGAGTCCACTGAAAAGGCGGAAACTCGCGGTGACGGTGGTGACGTGGCGCGAAACGAATCCACGTCAGCACTCAACGATCGCTTCCTTGAACATGCGGCATCACTGAGGTGATATGGAATCTGACCTGGCTTGACCCGAAGCTCCCGTGTTTTCCCGTGATGCTCATCTCCCGCAACCCTCGCATCAGCCCAGCCTACGCATCCCAGTTGGATTCGCGATAGCGGATTAGACGTGACTTTTTCGGAATCCCATCCGCGCTAGCGCGTGACATGGCAGCATTATCAGTCTCTGGGAGAGTGGTTTGTCTCGCGTGCCAATCAAAAGAGGAGGAAAGGAAAATCAGAGCTGGTCGAAAGCAGAACTGCTGTTGCTATGACGGGAAAACGCACGACGCAGTGTAGCTTCACTAAATACTTGCACTTAGTGCTAAAACGGTTTGGGGTGTGCGATCACCTTGCGTGTGCGAAAGAAAACGAGGGCGGGCTACCTTGGCGAGCTTCGCACACCTGCTCGTTCATCTTCAACACTCACTCACACTCCACGCCACGACAAGCCCAAGGCCGGCAAGCCGGCGAGGAGTTTCTCCTTAGGTGCCAGGCCACTGACTTCTGGCTCACGTCTTTGGCGAGTTGCCGACGCTGGTGAATTCGGTGCTAATCCGGACACATAGGGAGCCTCGGGTCGGGTAAGGGTTAGTACCCGTGGCTTAGCACGCGTTCACTTGCGAGAGGCCGTAGCACTCGAGAAGGCGGAATTCGCCTCAAGCCGCGAAACCTGTCATTTCGACTCCGCTCGTGGTACATCCCTCCGCGCGCCGTCGCGCCAACTCGCTCTGAGCTTGCGAGTGCGCCGCCATGCGGATTCTAGTGACAGGAGCCACGGGCTTCCTAGGCACGGCGCTCGTAACGCGGCTCGTTGAAGTGGGACACAATGTGAGGCTCCGTTATTGGCTTGTTCACTATAACACCCTTGTCATGCTGGTTGTATGCGTGTATACGATGAGTGCAACGAGTAGGCGATTAAGTTTCGCCGTTTGGAGTCTCGTGTGAGCAGCAGCGTGCCATATCGCGATTCCTTCCTTCTTCCCGAACCACGAGCGCAGGTTCGGGTGCTGGTTCGGCGCAGCAGCGACGTGTCAGACCTGCCGTTGGCGGCGGAGCGCGCGTACGGCGACGTGACAGATGGCGCGTCCGTATTGGCTGCGGCGGAGGGCTGCGAGGCGGCGTTCCACCTGGCGGCGCTCGTGCAGGCGTGGTGGCCCGACGAGCGCGCGTTCGAGCGGGTGAGCCGTTCGAGCGGGTGAGCCGTTCGAGCGGGTGAGCAGATCAGACGGGCCGGTAAGAATGGCGGGGCAGTCGTGGCAGCGGGACGGGGCAGAACGGGCTTGTTCGGTGGTAAGGGAGCGACTTGGTAAGCGCTTTAATGGGTGTGGAGAGGTAGGGGAATTAGTGAAAGAAACGGGAAGGGAGCGATGGTGGCGAAAGAGAGGTGAGTGAGGGGCTGCGAGAGAACGGTGGAGGGACAAGCGAGGTGGAGGGACAAGCGAGGTGGAGGGACAAGCGAGGTGGAGGGACAAGCGAGGTGGAGGGACAAGCGAGGTGGAGCACGGAGGGGACGAGCGAGGGGGATTGCACTTTGCGAGGAAGGTTGGATATTGGCGGCAGGAGCAGCGCGTTGGTTGTTGGTGGGCACACAGCATGACAGGCGGCTGCAGGCGAGGTGTCTGGCTGCACGTGGGGTGGCGCGCGGGGGCACGATGGGCACGAGGGAGGCGAGGGATGAGGCCGGGCGCTGTATGACAGTGCGAGCGGCAGGAAATGTGGTGTGAGAGGAGATAATGGGAGTGCGAGGAGCAGTGGGGCTCATGCGTGCAAGTCAATCCATGACCATCCATGCTGTTTCCGCTCCCTGTCCCATGCATGCATGCCATGCCATGCCGTACCATCCCCCTTGCCCGCGCAGGTAAACGTGGGCGGGCTGGAGAACATGCTGCAGGCGCTGCGACAGACGGCGTCGTTGCAGCGCGTGGTGTACGTGTCGTCCTTCTTCGCGCTCGGCCCCACCGACGGCACCATTGGCGACTCCTCACAGGTACTCCTCTGAGGTACTCCTCTGAGGTACTCCTCTGAGGTACTCCTCTGAGGTACTCCTCTGAGGTACTCCTCTGAGGTACTCCTCTGAGGTACTCCTCTGAGGTACTCCTCTGAGGTACTCCTCTGAGGTACTCCTCTGAGGTACTCCTCTGAGGTACTCCTCTGAGGTACTCCTCTCAGGTACTCCTCTCAGGTACTCCCATGGAATCATGTACTCTCACGTGATCCATGCATTACACGCTGCCAGACCTCCGCATGTGCATGCGCATGCTCCGTGCGCTATGTCCCGTTACCTCATGTGTTGTACCTCATGACCCCATGCTCTGTGCCTCTGCCCCCATGCCGTGTGGCCCCCATGCCGTGTGGCCGCCATGCCGTGTGGCCCCCATGCCCCATGGTCGCCACTCCTCTGCCCATCATAGGAGCACAGCGGGCGGGGCTTCTGCACGGAGTACAGCGGGCGGGGCTTCTGCACGGAGTACGAGCGCACCAAGTGGGTGGCGGACAAGGTGGCGAGGCGGGCGGTGGAGAGTGAGGGGGTGGACGTGGTGCTCGTGTACCCGTGCGTCATCTACGGGCCCGGCAGGATCACCGCCTCCAACCTCGTTGTCAAGATGGTACGGCGGCACCCACCATGGGAGAGGTTATGTTGCTTGCAGGTTATGGTAACTCTTGTGCACTCTCCCCGCCCGCCCTACCCTGCCCCTTCCCACCCCACTCCACCATCCTTCTTGTCCGACTCCGCCTTTCGCTTTCCTCCCTCGCGCATGCTTCTCCTCTTTTCGTTTTCCTACCTCCCTCGCTCATGCTTCTCCTCTTTTCGTTTTCCTACCTCCCTCGCTCATGCTTCTCCTCCCAATAGATCTTCTCCCACCCTCTTTCCTGCCCCCCTGTCCTCCTCCGTCCCCTTCTCACCCCTATGCCACACCTTGTCCCCGCCAATTTCGCACTTGTGTCCCCCATGCCATCACATGCAATGCCATGCCATGGAACGCCATGCCATGCCATGCCATGCCGCCCCACGCCACGCCATAAGATCGCGGACCACTTCCAGGGGCGCCTACCAGGGCTGTTGGGCAGCGGCACGCGCCTCAACAACTTTGTGCACGTCAACGACGTCGTGCTCGGCCTGCTCGCCGCCCTGCACCGCGGCACGCCCGGGCGGCGCTACATCCTGGGCGGCGAGAACGCGTCCATGGTGCAGCTGTTCCAGGCCGTGCACCGCGCCACAGGGAAGGCCCCCCCGCGCCTGCGCCTGCCGCTGTGGCTGGTGGCCGTGCTGGGGTGGGTGTCGGTGCTGGTGGCGAAAATGGGCGGGCCCATACCCATCTTCACTCACCAGGTACCTGTGTGTCTGCCCGTGTGTCATCGCATGGGGTGACTGCATGGAAATGTTTTACCTGGTGCGGTTGACTGCGGTGGTTGTAACACAGCTTGTGCCCGGTGCTGCTGCTCTCGGTGGTCTTTCCACAACGGGGCCGACAACAGCCGCCCACCAGTCTCTTTCTGCCTGTCATGCCTGCTCACTCGTCTCTCTCTCCTCTTTCCAACCTTCCCATCTCCCCCTCCCCCAACCTCCAGTCAGTGCAGGCATTCAACCACGACTGGGCGTCCAGCAGCCAGGAGCCCGACTCCCCCTTCATGCCTGTAAACCTGCACTTCCCCCTTGCTTCTCCCCATTCCCACTCTCTCGCCCTCCATCTCCCCCCTCTCCAACCGGCAGTCAGTGCGCGCATTCAACCACGACTGGGCGTACAGCAGCGAGCAGGCACAGCAGGACCTCGAGTACTCGCCGCTCTCGCTGGAGGAAGGGCTCCGAGACACCCTCACGTGGATGCGCGCCGTGGGGGCCATCAAGTAGCAGGGGAGGGGGTGGGCAGGGCACTGCGCATGCATGCGAGGTGCGAATGTGGCATGGGCCGTGCAGGCAGACTGCACCTCTAGTACTCGCAGCGCTCACTGGACCAAGGGCTTCAAGACATGCTTGTGTGGATGTGTGGCATGGGGGCCATCAAGTAGTAGAGGAGGAGGTGGGGGCGGCATTCAAGCACGCGTGGGACTAGAGCAGGCAGCACGCATGGCATGCCAGGTGGTTGCTGGGCACAGGCACTCAACCGCAGCAGGTGCTGTCAGTGGAGGGCCGGCGACATCAACGCATGGCCTCATGGATGTGCGTGGTGGGTGGGTGCCATCAAGCTGTAGGGGCATGCATGCACGTGCACATGCATGCACGTGCACATGCATGCACGTGCACATGCATGCACGTGCACATGCATGCACGTGCACATGCATGCAGGTGCAGATGCACGACCAGCATGGGAGTCATGTGCCGACTCTGACTAGACATACGACTCTATATACTATAGAGATTGTACATCTGTGTTCGGATGTGAAGCAACTCGTTACAACCTGGAACGGCAACCATATTACCACTTTACACCCCTGGGAACCCTTTAGCTCTCAGCCTGCGCCCTTCAAACCCATTTAAGCTTCTAGGCTCCACTCGATACCCCTCAGAACCCCTCAAACCCCTTTGGAACTCCTCTGAACCCCTTAGCAATGACATATATTTCGCGGGACGAGGCCCGGGTGGCCTTGGGGCGAAGGCGCGTCACTGATGAGAAGAGAGGCCTGCACGCTGCCACGTAGGCTGGGGGGAAGTCAAGGGGGGAGGGGGTTGAGAGGGGGATGTTTGCAAGCCAACGGTGGTTAATCGGGACAGAAGGTAAGGTGGCTGGGGACCGTTGCTGGGAGAGAGGGAAGGAGAGAGGAAGGAGGGGCAGGAAGAGAGCACGTGGAAACAGGGTGCATGGCATGAGAAAGCAGCAAGCATTGCAAGTCGCGCCTCGGTGTGCCCTCACCGTTCACCTCCTCACATGGGGTGTTGCCACTCTCCCTCCCACCAATACCTGCGGCATCCCCATACTGCCCACCACTGCCCACCACTGCCCACCACTGCCCACCACTGCCCACCACTGCCCACCACTGTCCACGACTGCCCACCACCGCCCACCACCGCCCACCACCGTACCTGGAGTGTCGTCACCCTCCAGCAGCTTCACCACCATGTGTCCCCCCACTGCCAGCACTCCCCCCTGCGCTGCTGCCCCTCCTTCCCCACACCCCTGTGGTGAACGCCCCCCCACTTGTTGAGCTCCTTGCATGCGTGCACTTGGTCTCTCTACTACTGCTGCTACAGACTCCGTCCCTGCTGCTGCCCTCTCTGCTCCTGCCTCTCTTGCTGCTTCTCCTGCGGGTTCCCTGGCACCTGCACCTCTGCTCCCACCCCCACCAGTGTCAGGATAGGCTGGATCTGGATGTGAGCGGTTGTGGGTCGATGGGTGTGGGTGTGCGGGTCGTGCGTCAAAGGATTCTGGTGGGGATGGGTGAAAGGTGTGCAGGCCTGAATGCAACAAGTGGGAGCCGTTTTGTTGTGAGTGCGTGTGGTGGTGAGAGTGGGTGCTGTGCGGTTCCGAGTGCTTGTGGAAGGGTTGGGCTGCGAGGGCGAGAGCGCGGAGGGCGAGGGAGTGGGAGGTAGCGACATCAGAGGGGGAGGCGCCAGAGGTGGATGGGCACATGTCTGATAGCAGCGTGGTGAAGCGGGACGAAGGAGAGGAGGAGTGGGGCTGGAAGGGGGGGAAAGGGGAGGGAAGGGAGGGATGGGGAGGGACAGGGAGGGATGGAATGGGGATGGAATGGGGATGGAGGGGGAAGAGGAGGGAGGGAGAGAGGGGAGAAGCAGTAGAAAGGGCGGACATGCGATTTGGGGGCACATGTACGAGAGGAGCATGGTGACGTAGGGAGGGGGGAAGGAACAGGGCTGGAGTTGGGGGAAGGGGAAGGGGAGGATGAGGTGGGGATGTTTGGGGTGTGGAGGGAGGAAACAAACAGCTGAAAGAGCTGGTGTTGGCATGAGCGAAGGAAGCAATGAAGGTGGGCGGGAATGAGACACAGAGCAGGGTCGTGCCCAGGGGAGACACAGAGCAGGGTCGTGCCCAGGGGAGACACAGAGCAGGGTCGTGCCCAGGGGAGTGGTGGGGACGAGTGGGGCTTTCAGGTGAAGGGAGGGCATGGGGAAGGGAGGGCATGGGGAAGGGAGGGCATGGGGAAGGGAGGGCATGGGGAAGGGAAGGCATGGGGAAAGGAGGGCGGGGAGAAGCAAGTGAAGGGGTTGGCAGGAGACTGGAGTGGAGTGGCGCATGGAGGCAGCAGCGACAGCACAGGTGAGCTGGCAGGTATGAACGGCACTGTGCCGCCTTGCCATTGTTGGGCAGGTATGAACGGCACTGTGCCGCCTTGCCGTTGTTGGGCAGGTATGAACGGCACTGTGCCGCCTTGCCATTGTTGGGCAGGTATGAACGGCACTGTGCCGCCTTGCCATTGTCGGGCAGGTATGAACGGCACTGTGCCGCCTTGCCATTGTCGGGCAGGTATGAACGGCACTGTGCCGCCTTGCCATTGTCGGGCAGGTATGAACGGCACTGTGCCGCCTTGCCATTGTCGGGCAGGTATGAACGGCACTGTGCCGCCTTGCCATTGTTGGGCAGGTATGAACGGCACTGTGCCGCCTTGCCATTGTCGGGCAGGTATGAACGGCACTGTGCCGCCTTGCCATTGTTGGGCAGGTATGAACGGCACTGTGCCGCCTTGCCATTGTCGGGCAGGTATGAACGGCACTGTGCCGCCTTGCCATTGTCGGGCAGGTATGAACGGCACTGTGCCGCCTTGCCATTGTTGGGCCGGAACGAACGTGCGTGCGAACGAGGTGAGTGCGAGGTGAGGGGAGAGGTGGAGGGAGAGGGTAGCAGCAAGGAGCAAGGGGGGGCGTGCCTGGAGAGAGGAGAGGAGGCGCAGCAGGAGGAGCGGCGAGAGGGCCAAGGCGTCTGCCTGGATGACCCGCACTCGCCCGTCACACCACCGCTGGGGCACTGCTGTCGGCTGATAGGCATGGGGGGGAATGAGGGGGGAATGGGGGGGGAAGGGGGAAAGGCGGGTGAAGGGGACATGGTGGGAGGGGGGTTGTGGGGTGGGGTTGGGAAAGAGGGGATTAGTAGAAGGAGCTTTGAGATAGCAAATGCCGGAAGGTAGCAGGGCATGCACCTGAATGTCGAAAGGTAGCAGGGCATGCACCTGAATGTCGGAAGGTAGCAGGGCATGCACCTGAATGTCGGAAGGTAGCAGGGCATGCACCTGAATGTCGGAAGGTAGCAGGGCATGCACCTGAATGTCGGAAGGTAGCAGGGCATGCACCTGAATGTCGGAAGGTAGCAGGGCATGCACCTGAATGTCGGAAGGTAGCAGGGCATGCACCTGAATGTCGGAAGGTAGCAGGGCATGCACCTGAATGTCGGAAGGTAGCAGGGCATGCACCTGAATGTCGACGCCCACCACACAGCCGCCTTGACTCATGGGGCCCAGGGCCTGGCATGCCACCTGTGATGTGATGTGATGTGATGTGATGTGATGTGATGTGGTGCGGTGCGGTGCGGTGCGGTGCGGTGCGGTGCGGTGCGGTGGGGTGGGGTGGGGTGGGGTGGGGTGGGGTGGGATGCGATGCGATGCGATGCGATGCGATGGGATGCGATGCGATGGGATGCGATGCGATGCGATGCGATGCGATGCGATGCGATGCGATGGGATGGGATGGGATGTGATGTGATGTGATGTGATGTGATGTGATGTGATGTGATGTGATGTGATGTGATGTGATGTGATGTGATGTGATGTGATGTGATGTGATGTGATGTGATGTGATGTGATGTGATGTGATGTGATGTGATGTGATGTGATGTGATGTGATGTGGTGCGCGGCAGACACGTGAGCACATGGAAGGCATGAAGGGCATGGTCGCACGCACGCAGGCTGATGGCATTATTATTTGAGGCGTTGAGGCAGTGTAGAGGGCAGGCATTATTTGAGGCGTTGTGAATTCTGAGGCATGTGTGAAGGATGGGGCAAGTGGGCGATAGCGCACCGCTGCTCATACCATTGCTGTGCTGCCATGCCGCATGAGTCGCATGCGGCAGCAACAGAAATAAAGCATGCGGACATGCCCCCCATGGCAGTACACACCATGATACGAACGAACGGACATAATGTGGCTATTCAGGCATGCATCGGTGATGCCCCCACCACCCTTCCCTATCACCCATCCCCAGCACGTGCCTGCAGCCATGCCCCCATCCCCAGCACGTGCCTGCAGCCATGCCCCCATCCCCAGCACGTGCCTGCAGCCATGCCCCCATCCCCAGCACGTGCCTGCAGCCATGCCCCCATCCCCAGCACGTGCCTGCAGCCATGCCCCCATCCCCAGCACGTGCCTGCAGCCATGCCCCCATCCCCAGCACGTGCCTGCAGCCATGCCCCCATCCCCAGCACGTGCCTGCAGCCATGCCCCCATCCCCAGCACGTGCCTGCAGCCATGCCCCCATCCCCAGCACGTGCCTGCAGCCATGCCCCCATCCCCAGCACGTGCCTGCAGCCATGCCCCCGGGCAGCATCCCAGATCCAGCACGGCGCCTCCCTTCCTTATCACCGCGTGCCGCCGCTGCACCTCCTGCAGCTGGCGGTGGGGAGGGAGGGGGAGAAGCGCAGGCGGAGGGGAAGAAGGGGGGGCAGGGGGAAGAACGGGGGAATGGGTTGTGTATGCTCTGCACCTCCTGCAGCTGTGGGACAGAGGAGGAGTGGGGAGAGGGGAGCGGATAGGGTGGGAGGAAGGGATGGGTGAGGGATGGACGCGATAAGGGGAATAGGGAGGGACGGCGGAGGCGTGGGGGAGACACGCTGCGAAATGCGGATCCGGTGCAGCAATTTGCGCTCTGCATCGGTGGAAGGAGGGTGCCCGCGGGGCAGGCGCGGGAGGGGGAGATAGCGGCGGAGGCAGGGGAAAGCGGGGAAATGCGGGCGGTTCCGTCCGCCCCCGCGCATGCAGTCCGCGGTGCGAGCGCGCTTAGCACGCGGCAGGTGCTCCAACGCTATTTGCAAACGCGGGGGACACTGGTCGACGCGGGACCTCCATGACTCGCGGCGCCGAGCACGGGGCGCGCGAGAGCGCACCTTGAACGCGGAGCGCGCTACGTAGCCGAGGCGGCGCGCCTCTTTGAAAAAGAAGTCCTGCGGCGTGAAGCGCGCCATGGCCGCTTCGCATGCCGCCGGGAAACGCGGCGTCGAGTGGATGTAGGGGTAGGTAGTACGCTCGGCGAAGCTTGGTGAAACAGATGGTTACTCTACCACCGAATGATTTCGCGCGGTGGGAGAACTGCAGTCATCGAAAGACCTTTCTTTCGCGAAATGTTAGCGGTCATTGAGTTTTTGCGTGACGGGAAGTAACTTTCCTTTTGAACGAGAGGAAGTACAGCAAAAGATATGAATCACATTAGAGAACAAAAGCTATACAAACCAAGGTGAAAGAGATAGGCAAAAAGAAATCTACAAAGATGACACAACGAGCAGTTATGCTGATGCTTGCTTGCAGCTCGCCCAAAACAAATCCTGTCCGGATGAAAGAGCACCAGCGTCTCGTGATGTTGTATCGAATGAGCCATCACATTGGAGCCTTCATGACGGAAAGCATCTGCACGTGCTCCAGAAAAATGCTCCATGGCCCGTCACCAACAAGCAGCGTGTCGCCGTCGGCGTCGGTGTAGGTGAGCTGCCAGGGACATGTGGCACCCGCTGCGGGCTGCCCTGGCTGCTGCAGAGGCAGCTGCAACATGGCTGCACACGTGGCGTACAGCGATTGGAAGCTGCCGATGCCACTCAGATCCACAGTGCGCATCACTGGGCTTCCCTCCACCCGCAGCTGAGAGAAGCAACGGCAAGCGGAGAGAAAGAGCACAAGGTGAGGAGTGAGGGGTTGCCATACGTCCATGCATCCATGCATCCATGCATCCACGCATCCATGCATCCATGCATCCACGCATCCATGCATCCATGCATCCACGCATCCATGCATCCATGCATCCATGCATCCACGCATCCATGCATCCATGCATCCACGCATCCATGCATCCGCACATCCATGCATCCATGCATCCATGCATCCACGCATCCATGCATCCACGCATCCATGCATCCATGCATCCACGCATCCATGCATCCATGCATCCATGCATCCATGCATCCATGCATCCACGCATCCATGCATCCATGCATCCATGCATCCACGCATCCATGCATCCATGCATCCATGCATCCACGCATCCATGCATCCATGCATCCACGCATCCATGCATCCATGCATCCACGCATCCACGCATCCATGCATCCGCGCATCTATGCATCCATGCATCCATGCATCCACGCATCCACGCATCCATGCATCCACGCATCCATGCATCCACATAACCATGCAACCATGCTTCCCCAAGCCTCGATACACTTCAAACTCGCATCCCCTCACCTTAATCCGTCGTCTGTTGGCCGCCCGGGATGGCGAGGGAGACAGCTTGCAGGGCGACGCGGGTTGCTTGGATGGGGAAGCCGTCTGCCCATCCATGCTCTCCGCCCCCCCTGCTGCCTCGTGCTTGCCACTTGCCGCCCGCTCCTCCATTACAGTGCGCTCCAAGTCACCATTGCTGCTCCTGGGTGTGCCACCGCTGGCAGAGCTGGGCGAGGAGGGCAGCGTGAAGAGACAGCCAGGAGGACCACCCACCGCACCACTCACTTCAGCAGCACCAGCAAGAGCACGAGCATCATCGGACGGGCATGCGGGGTGCATGACAAGGTCGCTGTCAAGCGTGTCCGTCCTCTCAGGCCGCTGGGCGTGCAGCAGACGGGCGACATCCGACTCCGAGTGGCACGCGTGGCGCAGCACAGGGATGTCGAGGCCTGTTGTGCGCCGCCGCTTGAGGCTCGGGGAGGAGTGGTAGGAGGGGGGCGAGGCGGTCAAGGCGGAGAGGCCGAGAGAGAGCGTCAGATGCACCGCTGCTCCCGCCTCCTGCTGCTCCCTCTTCACCCCGCCCTGCCGGGAGCTGGCAGGGGCATAGGCTGTGAAGCCCCCAGGAGCAGTGAGGGCTCGAGGGAAGGCCGGGCGAGGCGCAGCCGGAGATGCAGTGCCGGCACCGGCTGTAGCAGCGGTGGCAGGGGTGGCTGTTGTAAGCGACTCGCGAGATCGGCTGTACTCCATGGCAGAGTGGGCTTGCGACCAAACCATCGCATCAGGCTTGGCGTGGCCAGGTTCGGAAGGCATGGGCCGCGGAGGGAGGGAGTGGTTAGGAAAAAAGGAGGTGAGGGGGGTGTGAGAGAGAGGGGCAGTGGAGGGGAGGCACAGAGGGGCGGGGCCCCAGCTGCCCTCATCTCCCTGCTGTCCCGCTGCGAGGGGGGCGGCAGGGGCGGCAGCAGGGGGAGCAGCAGCAGCAGCAGCAGGGTTGGAGAGAGGTGGTGGCAGGGAGAGCGGGGGGGGGCGCTGGGCGGAGTGTGACAGCAGAGCAGCACTGGCAGAAACGGTGGCGATAGTGGGGACAGAGGCGAAGGTGGTGGAAAGGGGGGCGGAGCCGGAGGAGGCATATAAGGAGGAGCAGGGCTGGGCGAGGGCGCGGGCGTCGTCAAGCAGCCAGGGGGAGAGGCGCGTGGGCTTCACTGCCCCGTCCGTGTCGCCCCACTTGATCTGCACCGAGCGCCAGGGCGAGGAGGGCCACGTGGCAGAAGGCGAGTGGTGCAGCGAGAGCACGGTGCCACGTAGGCGGCGCGTGGCGAGGTCGTCGGTTTCGAGCGTGAGGCGCACCTCGCTGCCCGGCTGTAGCGCCGCCTTCACGTGCAGCCCGCGTGTGAAGTCGGGGAGCGGGATGACGAAGGGCGTTGAGGCGCTCACCCTGCCATGGCGGGAGAAGGGGGCAAGGGGACGAGAGGAGTGAGGAGGAGCGGGGTGTGGAAGCTGAATTGCCAAGGTTGAATGCTGACTCGAGAAGCTGACAGCATGGCACAAGCTGACTCATCATTGTTGCAAGCTGACTCACCATGGGTGGAAGGTGACAGAGAAGGCCGTGCGGCGGCTGTAGCAGCGAGCAGCAGTGGCCAGCACAGCATCAGCAGACGCCACCTCCGCCAGGCCTGGGGAGGCTGGAAGGTGCGCCATGGCGGCGGAATCCCCCACATGGTCAACGTCAAGGGAACACCGTTGAGCGTGGCGCGCCTGGCGCTGCGCCTGCAAGGCCGCCATGGCCGCCTCGCTGCGCCGCACTGCCACCTTGAGCGCGCCGTGCCTGTTCCTGAGGGGGTGGAGGAGGGGAAGGGGGGGCGAGGGGGCGGTGAGCTGGGTGATGGTTGCGCTGCATTGTGCTGCGACGCCTGGGAGGCGAAACACACGACAGCTTCGAGGCTCCGAAGAGACAATTGAGCGCACCTGAGGAAGACGATGCGGTCGCCAGCAGCGAGGCCCCACGTGGCGGAGAGCGCGCTCCACCCGGTGGTGAGCAGGTGGCGCTTGGGCGTGCCGCGGTACACGTGGCGGAAGAGCCACTGGTTGCCCAGCACGTCCGTGGCCGTGATGCGCTGCGATGGCACCGACTGCGTCATGTCCTGCACCGCACCGCACCAAGCACCAACGCATACACAGAGAGGAGAGAATTGAGCGCGAGGCGACAGGAGAGTGCGCAGACGGACACAGCACGGAGAGGAGCGGAATCATGAGCGCACGACTGTCAATTTAGACAGCGGAAGGCAGCCCTCACACGGGGGACCGAAGCTTGGGGGAGAATAACTCTGGGCGGCATACCAGGTGGGGGAGGCAGGCCTCAGCGGACTTGCGCGGGATGGAGAATCCGCCGTGCGTGGACGTGTCGCTGGTTGACAGCCGCTTGCAGCTCACGCGGTCCTGCTCCGTGCGCGCGTACAGCACGCGGCTTCCGCTCGCCGCCGCGCCTGCGCGCGCCTGCTCCTCCGCCGCCTCCGCCTGGCAATTGGACGAAAATCGTAGAGGAGAAAGCGGCGGAAAGCGGAAGGAGGGAGGGATTACTACTCGGTAATTGACGAAACAGAACAGCAATTGGAGACGAATTGAACTTGGAACACGAGAATTGAGAATTATCAACGGTGAAGATGGATGTGGGGAAGAGTCGACGACCGGGCGTACCTCCTGGATAGGCTGTAGCTGCATGGTGGCCAGCAGCTCGTGCGTCTCGACGTCAATCTGAAGCACCACGGACTCCAGCCGGCAGAACATGTGGCTCGGAGGCAGCGCGGCTGTAGCAGCGTCGCTGCCTTCATCGTGAGAGCTGCCGCGAGCGCCGGCGCAGTCGCCGCTAGAGGCGGACCCGCCGTCTCGCATTGCTCCCGCGGCGGCTGCGGAAGGCGTTTTGTGCGGCGCTGCATGCTGCGGATCCCATTGCCGCTGCGCTTCGTCGGACGCGGTGCAAGAAGTGTTTCTGGTCTGCAAAACATGAGCAGATCGAGCTGTAAAATCGGTACAATCCAGTCGCCTCCAGCAAAAACACATGTAAAAACAAAACGAGGAAATCTAGAACGGCACTGGCCTGTACCTGAAAAAGAACGTGTGAATTCCGTCTGACGAGTGAAGTTTGAGAGAATATCGAGTTTCTTACCTCGGCCAATAATTGCTGTTGCTCCACGTGTCCTTCTGGAAAGTACACCACGACAGATCCGACGGCTGGGAGTGTAACGAGAGGTCCGGCGCACGCATGCCACAGCTCCACGTCGTCAATTGCCCGAACAGTTCCTCCCTGATTCTGCGCCGTCATTTGCGACGCAATTGACGGATTTGTTGCGAAATTTGGCGCTGTTTCGTCCCCTGAAGCTCCGTGTTGAGAGGGAAATGCTGGCTCGCGAAGAGTTTCGGCGTCGTGTCGCGACGACGAGTCGCTGGATCCATGGCTGCCGCTGTTCAGCGTAAGAGGCGGCGTCAAACTCGCGGAATGAGCTTTTAACAATTGAATAGAGTCGTCGGACGTTTGGCAATGGCTTAAACCGATGGGCTTCCAGAACGAGCCGAGGCGCTGAGGAGGAGAAACGCTGGAGGAAAATCCAGCACCATTTCTGGTGCTGATGACACATTGCGGAACAAACGGTGCAGCGGAATCACTGAATGTGACCGCAGTAGTAGACATGACGAACAGAGAGTGGTAGTACGACGCGATGCGAGTGAATGATGCGAAGAGAACGAATGAAACGAGAGAGCGTACGATGTGAGGGGACTGTGTAATGCGAAGTAAGAGAATAAGAGCGTATGAGTAGAAACATAAACTGAAGTTACAGCTGGCTGAGCAACCAAAAATAGTCGTGGTGTGGTGGATGGGAGGGCGGAGAGACAGAGCAGCAGGGTGAGGGGAAGTGTGTAGGCTGGGGGGGGGGGGAGCGCAGGGGCAGATAAATTGGCGGAGAAAAGGAAAGGCAATCCGCCGGGATACTGTTGCTGGTGTTGTTTGTGTTGACCTGACTAACGGTCTGCCCATTGAAAAACAATTCAGTTCAGCTCAAACCAATCCTTGTTTGAACTGAACTGAATTGTTCACCTATCCTTGTCTGGCCGTCCTATGGTTGAATGCCTCAAACCATCCCAGAGTAGCAAGGGGAGTGTGATCCTGTTTGTTTGATGTGACTTGTGAGTTTACATATTGCCCTCTAGGGCAGATACATAACCAAGACAACGGAACCTGATGCACTACCAGACACGCACTATAGACTTGAGTTGAGACGGGGTTCACTTCCACGGCCCAACTGCCAAGCGTCGGAACGAAAGAACAAGTTTCACTTCTGTATGCCTCCCACAGCCGTCCCGACTCCCGCCCGACCGAGCCGACGAGCTGAATCGCACCCCCAATTCATTGGGTCTGTCCTTCACGTGCCTGGTTGGGGTTTGGTTGGATGGACGACGACGAACTGATCACTTCGGCATGACAAAGCCACACGGGTGGCTCCTGTCCTTCCAAATCGCCAATACAGTAAAATACATTACATTACTGTACGAACTGAGCCTGAAATTCTACATATTCACCCCTCCGGAGCTTGTGCAAAAGTGGTCCGAAATCTCCAAAAACTGCTTCAGTGGTGCTCACAGCGGGCCCAGGCTTGTTGTGGAAACCAAGAACAAGGCGCACAAAAATTGGCCGGGGAGTGCTGTGCGTCCCAAATTAAAGTTTCCCCTCGTGCACCGTCGTTTTCCCCCTCGCTCCGCCCAACCCCCCTCGCTACTGTACCCCTGAATCCCCCCATTTCTCCCTTCACTTGAAGTCGTTATGGTGCCTGAGACTTGGGTTTGGGCAGCTTGCGACTTGCGCTGTACAGTATTGCAACATGTATCACACGGTCACCCTACACCACACCACATCTCTCTGTGTACATTGCATGAATCTACGGAAGCGATTTGAGAAGAACAGACGGCTGCGGCGCGCGAGAAACGGCTACAACTCAAGCCAGCTTGTCGAATCACGAGATCACGCTCGGTAGTTCCATCACATGCTCCCGTTTAGCTGCGTTTACACCCTACAGCTGCATTCGAAAGGAAGAAATACCCGGTCGTGATTATGTGTATTTGGATACCGCAGATAAACCTTCCCAGACTCGGTGCTGCGATTCACGTGCCAAAGAACTATTCACACTCGTGTTTAAATTGGAGACATCCGGCGGCATGTTTAAATATCCTGATATCCCAGTTGTGATGACAGAACGAGTACATCACAACTCACACTTCTTTCACCGCCGATGTTGAGCAATTCAGGGAAACTGCTGCATATCTTCTATTCATTACATCTGTAGATGTTTGGCATATCGAGCTCAAGGAAATCAAAGGGAAAAATGGTTTGACCTCACCTCACCATCTCCAGTTGTTTCTTGAGCGGCACGGTCTGAATCCCAGTCTACGTTCCTACACGTCATCCTTGGTGACATGTAAGGTAGAATCACGGTGTATAATTCAGGTGTATAGATTCTCGCACTTAGAACACCCCTGGAAAACTTTCACACTTGTCAGACGTCAGAAAGGGAGACGCTGACAACTGTTTGCTGCAGCCGGCTTTCACCACCCTCGAAAAAACAAGATTGACAACTGGGCGATTCGTCTGCGGATCTTCGATTCAGCTCTACAGCATCAAATGCACGTCGGAGCGTCATGTCCATGACTACAAACGGTGTCCGTTTGACTAACCCAAGGTTGCCTTGCCAAGAGGACTCTTAAAAGGTTCTTGCATTTCGCTAAGCTTTCGTCAGTTCGCATTTAGCAAAAAGGGCCTTTAAATGATTTTGTAACTCGCTATTGACCGTTTGACATGGGTCTCTTCTGTCAAACTTCGGTTTTTTGTGGTTCGCATTGCTCGAGGTGCTTATAAATAAGGTGCAACTGCTTAGTACCCTAATTCACGGGTGCAGAGTTTCCATCGTGGGCTGAGCAAATTCGCATGCAGGGGCTGGGCATCTTGTGTAGTGTGTGCTTGATTCCCTGGATTCTTGTGCATCTTGCAAACGATGACAGAAAACTGGTTGGCGTCCTGAGCAGCAGCAGCCCAGTGATTTTTTTTTCCAATTCCACTCTTTTGGTGGCAAATGTGTGATGAGTGTCGCCTGACTTGTTTCCTCCACACTGTGCTAACTTCGAAGCTGGAGCGACAGGGGACCGAAGTCCCACTGCAACCACCATCCAGGTTCATGCATTTGTCAGAGCCAAAAACACTGTACATCACAACAAACTGTGTACAATCGAACCGTCAGCAGGCAGCATACATTTTCAACTCAGGGCGTATTCCTATCCTCCTATCAAGAAAACCTCCTATCAAGCTCTCACTGGAAAATTCCCTAAACCCCAAATCTCTCGCTACTTTTACCAGGCAAAATGTACAATCTTGATAGGAGGTTTCTTGATAGGAGGCCGTAGGAATACGCCCTCACACTCGGTTTGCATAAACTTCTCAGACAAAGCGCTTGAACCACGGTTGTGTATTTTTATTAATATTCGTGGCACAAGTGGTCACTTTCGATTCGGCACTTTCGGTCATTAAACAAGAAAATGTCGACTCGGATTTCCACAAACATCCGCGTAAAAGCGCCCTCAAATAAGAGCAAAAGAGCTGTCCCTGACTCCGCAGAATAAGTACAGTAACAAAATTTGCGTGCTACACCCTAATGCTCACTCAACCGCCCACTCTGTACACGGCCACTGCCACTCCATATGCCCAGTGGTCGACATTCACAGCCAACGGCCCGCGCGTTACTAGCCCACGACAAAGCTAAGATATTCTTGACCTCGAATAGGTTAATCGAGTTCCCCAGACAAGACACGCTGGGCTACAGATAAAGTCCCATTCTCCCCGTAGAGAGCGCATGCTCGAACGAGGAGCACAGAGAAAGTTAGGGAACAAGACTGGAATGGGCATCAGGTGTAGTCTCTTGCACGCGCAACCACAATTTCTGGATGCCGATTTTGCACCAATCGTGGAAGAGTCTCCAAGGGCACGAAGCACAACCTCAAGTGATGTCCGCCCAGCCTTGTCCACACAATGCAGCCCAGGTATATTCAACCTTGTCGAACCAAACAAACTCGTGGTGGCCTTCTTCTCGTACACCCTGTTTCTCGCTACATCCTGTTCTCGATTATTTCACACTCCGGATGATCCGCAATTTCGTTAACCTGGGTACCCTACCGAGCCATATTAAAAGTTCAATCGACCGTTTTCAAAGGTAGCTGACCTCGTCAAACCGAACTGATGCAAAAGTTGACTATAGTGCGTAATTTTGTGCATTGAACCACAGAGTTCAGTATACCAACATTCACAATAGCAAGAAAAATGGTGTAAACATTGTTGATGCTGTATTTAGGACATCTCTAAGGAATTTCCTCGCTATTCCTTACTACGACCGTCAACACCGCATACAGCAGCAGCAGTTGTTCATCCGTTACTGCTAACGGGGCTTCGCCAACTTCGCGCGCACTGTTTCACCAAACCTCGCACTGCTGGAGCAGCCGAGTCGGCCTACGCTTCAGGATTAGCCCGAACCTCGCGACAGCGTCGCACTAGCTAGCTCGTACACACCGCGTTACCGTTTGCATGTTTCGCCTATAAGTATTCGCTCATGCCTTAGCTCATACTTTGTACTCATTGAACACCGTAGTGCAATCCTCGCTACATCGATTCATTGCACCCGTAACACTTGGTTATCAGAGCCACTTTCTTTTCGGATCGCGCACCTCCGCACCCTAGGGTATCAACTTTGATTTTTCACTCGAAGGGGCTCATGCCCCTTAGCCCCTAGGAGCCGATGTCCTCGCGTTCTCTCGTAAACGCGTGCAGCCACGACAGCGCCTAGACTAATCTGAGCCGA